GACTGTTTTGCCCTTTTGCCATAGTGGTTAAAACATGAGATCACTGCAACTCTGTTGGTCTATTGCAAATGACCTGTACACAAGGAGTCCATGCAGTCAATCATAAAACTTTAGTGGTGTGAATATTTTCTGCATAAGACAAGTAAAGCACTGTGGAGAAACAATGCTTTACTGGAAATCTGTGATTCTCAGCGTGACACTGAATCCCTACCAACTCTGTTCTAAAACCACCGCTGAGTTGTCATCCATGACCTTCCTCCTATTTATAGGGGAATGTCTTCTTCAATTACAGCTCAGGATGACACGATCACATTTTAGAATTCGCAATAAAAACTTTTTGGAATCTGCTCTCCTAAATCCAGGAAGTCATCCTTTATTCAAAAGGAATCTGAGGCTGACATGATGTTATCTGATGTCTGTGAGGATTTTTATTATTCCTGTTTGCCTAAACTGTCTAATTGGCTTTTTATTTCAATCGATCCACAGGGAACTTTAATCAGCAGCCCGACGGGGTCAGATGAGTCATTTGACAGTTTGCAGACACATCATGATCAGCGTCAGAGCTCTCTTACACCCAGTGACATGTTTAATGAACTCTTCAGGAAGATAATTAAAAAATGATTACAAAACAAAATAAGCATTTACCTTCTGCTTGTTTTATCAGAATTTTGTCCTTCTTTGTCACAATCCTTCTTTTTATGTTCTAATTCAGTGACATTTCTACAGAAGAGGATTAGGGTCACTGAAAAGAAACAAAAGAAAATAATTAGATTTCTGGCTTTTTTCTCTAACCCTAACCCGGGGGTCGGCAACCCGCGGCTCTGGAGCAGCATGCGGCTCTTCCATCCATCTGATGCGGCTCTCTGTGCTTGTAAAATAATGACTGGATATTTAAATAAAATGCTTTATATTTTACTGCATACATTTTACATCTGTATGCCAATTCTATGTAAAGATTGTCTGCGTAAACCTGAACAGGTCCAACCCGGTCTTACTGTGAGACCGGGTTGACGGGTCATGCTTGTGCGTAACCATAGGCGCTTTCTGAGCTGAAGATGTGAGATTCTGGGATTCTCAGACGGCTCCTGGAAGCGTCGCCACATTGGAGACAGGAACAAGCGCTATTCAGCCAAAGTTTCATAATCAGGGAACATTTTCTAAGTGGCAAGTCTCGCTTCAGTCGGCGGAATCTTCCCGCATGCGCTCTGGTTCTGCGACGCGCTCCAAGCCCCTCTCCACATCTTCAGTTCGCTGTGCACCTTATGTACGCGCTGACATCGAGCTGCGCTGAGCAGTGTCCAGCTCAGATGTTCAGATGGGAATCTTTTCTTGGGTGATTTAGCTACATCTGCGATGTGCGAAACGAATAAAATGTCAGTTCGTTTGCATGTGTCGGGGTAATTCTTTCTATTCTTTCTCCGTCAAAATAAACGGTCAAATACAGGAACTATCCGGTCAACACAAGCCCTGCTTTTAACTGTTCTGTTCTCTTGTGAAAATTGTTGCAAATAGATATAATTTAACTTGATTAACACCAGAGCCAGGCGCACTGCGCCGTTATCTCCGTCACTGTAAATGAGGGAAAAACAAACTGATCGGCTCCTTTTCTGACCTTCCCCACCTACAAAGTTTAATTACAACAATCAAACGTGACAGAGCCTGGATTTGTATTCTGAACAGTCTAAACATGTTTTAAAAAGAAACGTATGACAAAAGTGGCACCTGCTCAGTAAAACCACCAACAGGGTGAAAAATACCAAAATACCGTAGGCAGAGACGGGCTACAACTTCTGGATCCACTTTATATAAATCGTTTTATTGATTATCTTCTCATGAAAGATAACTTTGACGTGCACGAGCGACCGGTACTGGCTGCTGTCACCTGTTGTGATTGGTTAAAGCAGCTCTCTGCTGTCTGAGGGTAGGCCCCGCCCACAACGCCACGGCTGCTGTGGTTCCCAGTGTTTTCTTTACTGTGGGAAACTGGTAATAATGGCTCTTTGATGGGAACAGGTTGCCGACCCCTGCCCTAACCAAACCTCAGAATTCAAAATTTTATTTTACACATCTGACTATAATCTCAGAATTCTAAATTTAATGTCAGAAATCTGACTTTAATTTCAGAATTTTGACTTTAATCTCAAAATTCAGAATTAAATTTTAGAATTCTGATTTTATTCTGTGAATTTTTACTTCAGTCTCATAATTGTGACTTTGAATTCAAAATTCATAACTTAATCTTAGACGTCTGAGCGTCTCAGAATTCTTAATTTAATCTCAGAATTCTGACTTTAATTTCAGAATTTTGACTTTAATCTCAGAATTCTGACATTTTTCTCAGAATTTTGACTTTAATCTCAGAATTTTGAATTTTATCTCTAAAATCAGACTTTAATCTCAGAATTCAAAATTTAAACTCAGAATTCTTAATTTAATCTCAGAATTCTGACTTTATTTTCAGAAATTTGACTTTAATCTCAGAATTCTGATTTTAATCTCAGAATTCTGACTTTTTTCTCAGAATTTTTACTTTAATCTCAGAATTCTGACTTGAATCTCAGAATACTTAATTTAATCTCAGAATTCTGACTTGAATCTCAGAATACTTAATTTAATCTCAGAATTCTGACTTGAATTTCAGAATTGTGATTTGAATCTCAGAATTCATAATTAAATCTTAGAATTCTGATTTTAATCTCAGAACTGTGACTTTAATCTCAAAATTCTTAATTTAATTTCAGAATTCAAAATTGAGTCTCTGAATTCTGACTCTAATTTTAGAAATTTGACTTTAATCTCAGAATTCAGAATTTAATCTTAGACGCCTGACATCTCAGAATTCTTAATTTAATCTCGGAATTCTTACTTTAATCTCATAATTCTTCATTTAATCTCAGAATTTTTACTTTAATCTCAGAATTCTAATTTTATTCTCAGAATTCAGAATTTAATCTCAGATGTCTGAGTTTAATTTCAGAATTCTGACTTTAATCTCAGAATTTTGACATTAATTTCAGATTTCTTTTCTTAATGTTTTTCTCATCAGTGACCCCAAGGCCGGATTAACCACATGGGCAACTGGGCAATTGCCCAGGGCCCACGAACTCTAAAGGGCCCAGGGCAGCAAGGGCACAAGCAAAATACTGTAGGCATATCTGTAATCTCCCGCATTATATTAAACTAGGGTGACCGTATGTCCGGTTTTCCCCGGACATGTCCACTTTTCACTCTCTGTCCGGGCGTCCGGACTGGGGCTTCTTGTATTGATGAAAATGTCCGGCTTTTCATCCAGGAGCAGGGATCGAATTATGGGGGAGCATGATATCCTACACATACAGGGGAGCCGGAAACAAGTTTTCTATATTACATCATTTATGGACTCTTTTGAGCAGAGAGCGGCACAGCGCGTTCTTGCGCAGCGCTCCAGGCTGCTGCTTCCAGCACACGGTCCATTCTCAAAGTGGCGCAACCAAAAAACTATAATTAACATACGATCGTTCATGTCTGCACATGTTCTCTATTTTCTGTCTTATTTGTGCCTGAAGCGCTCTGCTACTGCGCAGCTCATCACCTGTGCTGCAGTGATTTCATCTCACTGACGCATCATCGAAAGGCGCACGCCGCTTTGTGGTCAGGAGATCCCTTTGATCTGCTCAAAAGTAACTGATGAGGTGAAAAAGTAAGAATCCAGGCAGCAGCTTTTCTGGAGAGTTTAGAGGAGATGCAGGAAGATGAGAGACAGACAGGACAGGAAAATAGTTATATAAAAACAAGAAAACTAAACAAAGTGTTGAAAAGTAAAATGTAGGTAGATTTATCTCCACTACATGTTTTTACCTGTATAAAACAATAAGTTATACACATGTCATATTTATACATCTGATACAATTCAGATCACCTTCAAAACTCAGTCACACACCCAGGGCCGTTTCAAGACATTTTGGGGGCCAAGGCAAAATGCCCCCCCCCCCCCCCCCCCCCCCCCCCCCAATAACTGGGCTCCCCTGAAGCCTCTGTGTAATTCATACCCTCTCCAGGAGTGTTAGTTATACAGTGTTTGTAAAAAAAAGACTCAGACATTACTGACATGTTCTAATATTATCAGGTGAAAAACTAAATTATCAGACATGCTGTCTCATCTGCTGCTTTTCTAAACTTGCAAAAAGTAACAAAACCATTTGAAAGCCACTATTTGTGGATTCTCTGAAAGTTTCCATGGAGTGTGTGACAACTTATTTTTTCATTGATCCTATCGTCTAATCTCACAGCTGAAACAAGCATCCTTAATAATCTGTGCACAGGAAGCTTACCGATGCTGTAGTAAAACAAAAGTTATAATAATTTCTTATTAATAAAACCTTGTTGCAGCACTAAAGCAGAAAAATGAGATTTTGCTATAAATATGCTAAATATTTTCATATGAATTGTTTTAGAGCCCTTTTATTGGCAGAATCTGATATTAATGTAGTTCTTACAAAAAAATGGGTCCCATCGTAGTTTGTGTGTCGTTGCCATAGTGTGACGTCATAGGCACAGATCCCCTGTCCTCTTGTTTGGAAATGGAAATATGATCACCCTATATTAAACAAACTGTCCACCCGGGCTTTTGCGCTGCACAGAGACGCTTCGCTGCCTACAACTGAACGTCAGTTGAGAGTCAGTCTCATGCAGACTGACCAATGACGAGAGGGCCTCAGGTTAAGACCCTCTCCTCATTGGTCAGTCCACACAAGGTGGGTCAAAGGTTACTCTGGGCGGGTTACGTGATGTCAGGCATTCAAGTATTGAGTATATTTACTGCATATTACAGTAAAATATTCTGTATGTGACCACATTATGGTGATCCTTGGGTCGTGATGATGGGGCCCTTTAATATTGTTGCCCAGGGTACAACAAAGTGTTAATCTGGCCCTGAGTGACCCTAATCCTTTTTCGTAAATTGCTATCAACCAGTTTTCACAGTTTTCATCACTGTCTGACTTTATGTTTTTTTTTTTCAGAACATGGAGAAAGTGTTGATTCGTCCTACAGCATTCAAACCAGTTGTTCCCAAGAACCGTTACTCTGTGCAGTACCTGTCTTCACGGACAGGGGGCAGCAGTCTGTCTGAGAGCCAGGGCAGTCTAAACCTCCTGTTGCCCCTGGGAGTCCCCAACAGCACCAGCAGCACAAACTGTAACGGCGGAAGCTGTGTCTCCAGCAGTGAGGGGAAGCATAGCTCCTACAGCGGAGGGCGAAATGCTCGAAACAGCCAGTCCTGCTCAATGTCAGACTCAGGAAGGAACTCCCTCTCCAGCCTCCCTACTCACAGCAGCACAGGCTACAGTTTGGCCCCTAGTGAGGGATCCAGCTCAGGTTCTGGCTCTGGGGGTCAGGTGGAACCTGTTCCAGGCGTGGGACGCAACACTTCAGGTGGAAAGACGAGTCACGGTCACAGTAATTCAGACAGCGGGCGTTCCTCCTCCAGCAAGAGCACGGGCTCAGGGTCACTGGGTGGGCGCGGGCAGCCCCTGTCTGACAGCGGGTCCTGCGGCCGCTCGCCCCCACCAGCGGAGGGATACGAGGCAGTGGTGAGGGAGCTGGAGGAGAAGCTGCGGGAACGAGACCTGGAGCTCCAGCAGCTGCGAGAAAATCTGGATGAGAACGAGGCGGCCATTTGCCAAGTGAGAAACGATTCACCACACTAACAAATCTCAAAAAAGTGACTAGAATACCTGTTAGTTATGATGTCGTTAGAATAAAGTTGAGTGAGATCTGACCTCCTGTTCAATCTGTTTGCTGTGAAAGGTGTATGAGGAGAAGCAGCGTCGCTGTGAAGGGGAGATGGAGGAGCTGAGGCAGAACTGTGCTTCAAAGATGAAGCAGGTGTCTCAGAAAGCTCAGAGAGCACAGCAGGTGCTGCAGCTACAGGTGGGTTACAAATGAAGAACATTTTTCAAACCTGCACTAAGAGATAGAATTCCTGAAAGTTTCAGTCTTCTTTTTAAAGCAAGTCTTATTTCTGTTGCAATAAAGGCTTATTTTAACCTCTGATGTACTTCATTTTCATGATTTTGCTTTCCTTTTTGAAGATTTGCCTCTCTGCTTGTTTTCAGGTATTTCAACTGCAGCAGGAGAAGAAGAAGTTGCAGGAGGATTTCTCCTCTTTGCTGCAGGACAGAGAGGCGCTGGAGAGGAAGTGTGCCACCATCCAGAGGGAGCAGACTCAGCTAGGGCCCCGTCTGGAGGAGACAAAATGGGAGGTGCGTTGGGCTGTGTGGGAACGAATTGATGTGTTTGATTGTGTTGCTTTTCTTTCCTTCGTGCACACAAAACTTTTTCCTCTTGCTCCTCAGGTGTGTCAGAAGTCTGGAGAGATCTCCCTCCTGAAGCAGCAGCTGAAGGAGATCCAGTCAGAGCTCAGCCAGAAAGCTGGAGACATTGTGGTCTTGAAGGCTCAGCTGAGAGAAGCTCGGTCTGAGTTGCAGGCAAGTCAGGCTCGAAGCCAGGAGGCTCAGACTGCCCTCCGAACAAGATCCCTGGAGCTGGAAGTCTGCGAGAACGAACTCCAGAGGCGAAAGAGCGAAGCCGAGCTTCTCCGAGAGAAAGTCAGCTGCATGGAGGAAGAGTCGGCCCGGCTCCGGGACACCCTGTCCAATCACACTGGATTCTCTTTAACTGGAAACTTAACCAAAAAGGGGCCCGGCATGAGCCTGCCCGGCATGAGCCTGTCCCTCCAACAAGGTAGAGGGGTGTTAGGGAGGGGAGGTCCCAGTCCCTCCATGTACCGGGACGGAGAGGACGGCTACCTGGTCTGGGCAGGAGAGAGCGATGAGGCCAAGGCGCAGAGGCAGAATGCAGAAACCTTACTCGGACTCAGACAACAGGTATATCATTCTGTCTGGTGATGAGAAACAATACTGAAATAGAAAGTTAGACACGTCTGGCATTATTCCTGAGTTTTGTCCAAATTCCTCGTGTGAAAACTTGCACATGGTTCTGCAGAGCTTTAAGGCATCAGTTATGTTTCAAAACAAAATAAAACCCTTTTGGAATGTAAGAAAAAACACAATTCAGTGACCTGCAGATCCTTTAAAGAGCAGGTTTCCTGAGAAACCATTTTTTAGTTTTTCGTTGTCATTTGTTTCACATGCAGGCTGATTTTAAAAAAAAGATCTTCTATTCTTATTTCCTGCTTAGCTGCCGAAAAAAAAAAAAGACGGGAAAATGCCCGGGTCAGAAAAGGCCACTCAGATCTACATCATGCTGTAACATTCATGGACTCACTCATCTTGGCTCGCAGCGGGGATGGCTGTTGTTGATTTACCATCCAGGAGAGAGCAGAGCATGTCTTGGCTAGTAGAAGCTAACTGTTAGCATTAGCAAGTCTTCACCTAGGGTTGGGCAATTTGCATAATTTTTCCCACCTCCAATCGTCAGTCCAAAAAAAGAAGATGGACGATTTATTCGTGCATGTGACGTCATGACGCACGGACTGATTTGCGAACACAGAAGAAGCCCAAAACATTGATTTTTTTTTAGAAAAGCGCAGCACATATTTATTTATTTATTTATTTATTTATTTTTGGTCATTTAAAAGGAAAAAGAAAGAACACGGTAATACAGAATCTCAATTATAGTAACTAAAAAGGTGTTGGCTGAAGCCTAGCTTTTTAGGCCTACCCTATTTACTCAATCACATTACTTCTCAAAAATGAAAAAGAAATAACAATAATAAGATAAAAGTAATGTAATAAAAAAAGAGAGTGAGATAAAAATAATAATTATGATAATAAATAAAGCTGGGAAAGAGAAATGCTGAAAGAGAAATGTATATTTTTCTTCTTGTTTAATTTTGTATTTGTAGTATGGTAGAGTGACATATAAACGGGCCATATTAAACATGGCAAAATTGTTAAAACAAAGCCTCGTCTTTGTTCCCCTGTGGTGCCGTCTGTTGTGGTTTTTATTTAAGCAAAATGTTTCTTTCTGAACAAAAGCTTCTGGGGTTCTTTCTTCTATAAGTAGGGGATGGAATGAATCGCTGCTGCGTTTGGACGCACTCTGAGGAGGCAGCGCACTGCCAGAGGTCACATGATCCATTTATCCCCATCACTTTCATTTTTTAAATTATGAATAATCATTTGTTAAATTTCCATTCATTTTAATTAATATTTAGTCCAACCAAGCTGATCAGAATGCCCCAGTAACACGAACAATGCAATTAAACGATTTCACTTAAATTAGGAACATTCCTCCTGTGCCGCGTAAACCTGAACTGGTCACCTGCAGCTTGTGTGTAATCAAATGTCTGTAGGGAGCTCGCTGAAGAGGCTATGAGCGTCTAGACTTTGCCTCAGACAGACTCATGGCTGTTTAAATAATGTTCTGGATGGATCCGTGCTCTGCTGACACACTCGAAGCAGGTGCTGAATAACGACGAGCGCTACTTTAGTCAAAGTTTTAAATCAGGAAACATTTCTCCAAATGAATTAACCAGAAGTCTTCCAGACTCTGAAAGATAGAAGGGTCTCCACTTTCCACTCAACGCCGCGCTGTAGTGCACGATGTCGAGCGCGGCACAGACGCTCTCCAAACCCCTCCTCAGCGCGCCGCTTGCACGTGCACTGTCAGCAACCAGAGGCGGAGGAGGTGGGAAAGGGCTCAGATGCACTGATGAAGATCTTTTCTTGATTGTTACCTCTGCGATGTTCTCTGTGCCTAACGTGTAAAATATTCGTCAATAACAAACAAATAAATAAATAAACAAATTGCCTCCTGTAAAAAACAACCGTAACGGCTCAGCCCATCGCCGATGGTCGATTCATTCGTCCCATCGCCAAACCTTATTTACAACATGGCAGAACTCGTTCAGGCTTGTGTTTTTTGTGGAGATAAAACATCATCATTAAAGAGTGAATGGAGGCAGTGGAAGAGTCATGTTGCTATTAGCCAATCAGAGGCAAGATGTCCAAATATCAGGTAAATTAATGAGTAAGACTCAAAATCCTGCTGTTGTCTGCCCTCTCCCTCCTCCGGCTCACTTCTACTTCCTGAAACAAGAGCACCAAAGACTCACAAAGCATTCATTTAACTAGAGGCCTCTGCAGACTTAAAAACATCAGAGGATAATCTGTGCTTTTTTTCTATCACTGCCAGTGAAATGGTTCAAAAGTTTTTCTCAGGAGCGTGTATCCTGCTGTTACAGCATTGTTTTGACTTTTTCATTCATCTGTAAGTCCTTGGGAGCTGGCAGAGACTTTTTTCTTTATTCTTACTTAAAAGGTTACGGGGTTTGAGGCATGATTTATCATATTTTTCTTGTTGTTCTGTTTTTTTCAGTAGCTCTGTGTTACAGTCTGGCTAAATGCGAATGCTTTCCCTGAAATCAGGAACGGTTTCTTTCAAAAATACAAATTTCATCATTTTAGATGTTAGATTGCAAATACTACTTAATACAAATGTGCAGGTTGTCTGTGCCAAATTCCTTAATCTTTCAATTTTAAACAGTAGGTCTTTGACTAAAGAAGGAATTCCTCAGCTCCTCCAAATCCGAGATCATGGTCCCGAGTTGGAAAAGGGTTGAATGCCTTATTCAGGTCAGGGATGAGTTCCTGCCCCAAGTGGAGGAGTTTTAAGTATCTCAGGATCTTTTTTATGAGTGAGGGACAGGCTGATTGGTGCTGTGTCGACAGCGGGCGTTTTACTGGGCTGTCGTGCTGAAAAGAGAGCTGAGCCAGAAACAAAAGCTCTCGATTTACTGGTCATCTACATTCCTACCCTCACCTACGGTCACGAGCTTTGGTGGTGACCGTAAGAATGAGATTGTGGATACAGGCGTCTGAGATGAGTTTCCTCCGCAGGGTGACTGAGGTAGGGTGAGAAGCTCGGTCATCCGGGAGGGGCTCAGTGTAAGTCCGCTGCTCCTCCACATCGAGAGAAGCCATTTGAGGTGGCTCGGTCATCTGGTCAGGATGCCTCCTGGACGCCTTGCTGGTGAGGTTTTCCGGGCACGTCCAACCGGGGGGAAATCTAAAGGAAGACCCAGGACACGCTGGAGGGACTACGTCTCTCACCTGGCCAGGGAACGACTTGGGATTCTCCCGGAAGAGCTGGCCCAAGTGGCTGGGGAGAGGAAAGTTTGCGCCTATTGCCTTAGGTTCCTGCTCCTATGACCTGGATAAGTGGACGAAAATAGATGGATGAATGTTGTTTTCATGTCCTTTTGTCTTTTTTTTTTTTGCCCTCTCAGGTCGTAAAGCAATCAGAATTGATGTTTGAGTGCCGAAGACAAGTCTTAGAGTTTAACTCTCACAGGTGGAGCAGTGTAGCTTCAGCTATAATGCCTCGCCTGATACCAAAACTTCATTTAAAATATTTTCACACAAAGACAGAAAGGAGGGGAGAAGAAAGGAAGAGGTGGGGAAGAGAAAAAACAGTTCTCAACAATAAAGGATGTAGACCTGCCAAAAAAAGCAAAATAGAGGGACAAACAAAAATACAACACAACCAAAGAATCACTGCACCAACCGCATGAGGATATATCACAGTAACAATTTTTTGCTGAAAAAGCACACGGTAATAATTTATAGTGCATTTAGTGCCAACCACAGCCTTAAGTTATGTACAAAAATGCCCAAGTCCATACTTGTGTGAGCACCATGTGTTTGTGTACACACGCTTGTGTATCTAAGGTTTCTCTTTTGGAGTGTTTAATAGTGAGTGTGAGGGGCCACAGACCTACCCCCAAAGATCCACGGAAGATGGAGGATTTCCACTTCCTTTTGTCTTAAAATGGTTCTAATCCACAGAACCTAGCAGTGTTTGGGAAACAGAAAATTCTCATGCCGTGATTGTGTCATCTGGTCACCTAGGCTGGTTTTAAATCTGTTCTGTTGTTTTCAGGTGGAGAGGCTGAGAGCTGAGCTCATGTTTGAGAGGAGGACTAGTGAGGAGCAGCTGTCACGGTTTGGCGATGAGAGGAGGGTTTGGCATGAGGAGAAGGAGAAGGTAACAACTTGGATCATTATTCTGTTCAGCGTTATACTTGCTACATCGTTACTCAGATTTAGATTTTCCCACCACCCAGGTAATCCACTACCAAAAGCAGCTGCAGCAGAATTACATCCAGATGTACCGGCGTAACCGTGACCTGGAGCGGGTGATGAGGGAACTGAGTCTGGAGCTGGAGAACCGGGACATGGAGGATTACGAGGTCCGCAGCGGCAGCAACGACATCCACTTTGAGGAGATAACAGCCACAGAGATCTAAACACATAAAGTGATCCGTGCACAAGATGTGGACAATACTCACTGAAGTCTAGGAAGATCTTGAACTCTGGGCCAAAAACCACACTGTCTTCCATATGGAGCACTAAGCATGCTCACACTTCCTGTCACTGTTAAAGGGGACATTTTCCAAAGGTGTATATTCATTACTTCCTGCTAACCGGTGAGTTCCAGTAGATCCTTAAGAGATCTTTTACTGAGGTTTTTTTTAACCACGTTAAAGCCAGCACAAGGACTGCTTCTCTTCTTTGAGGAAAAAAATAAGAGAAAAGTTTAGATCTCAGAATATTTTCTAATCAGGGTATTTAAAATCTATAAGAACTTTAGGCAAAAAAATCCACCATATGCAGCGAAACTTGGTCTTTATGCACTCGCAGCTTCAAACACCGGGGGCACAAGCGTGTTCGTAGTCTTGCATCTACACAGCACTGCACCAAAATCTCCAAAGAAAGATCACGATCTGATGGTGTTGCTCGACTGTTGACTATACTGACTTTCAAAGGGATACAATTTTTGCTTGCTTTAGCGCCCCCTAGTGTCCGTTATTAATTCACTGGTAAAATCAGAAATGAAACTCGTTGTGAGTTTGTCTTTTTAATAGTGGTGCACCAATCTATCAGCCCCGATCTCTGTAGTTTATTTTTTTTTCAAGATTGGTGATCGGCCAAAAGCTGCAAACGGTGCACCCCTAGTTAATGTTAAAGCAAATCATTGCTATAGAATATTTTTTTTGGACAAGTGTGTCAAAACAAGTACAAAATTTTGTTTTCAAAATTTGAAAAATGAAAGTCTAAAGGAACCAATATGATTTTGTAGTTCAAACAGCAATGCTAAATATTTTCATTTATATTTAAGAACATTACCTCATGTCCAGTTGAAACTGGTATTGTTTCATGAGTATTCATATTGGTTTTCCCAACAAAAGGAAATTGAAACATTTACGTAATCTGCTTTTAATTAAGACAAAATCGGTATCGGCAAGTCAGGTTTTTCTCAAGATCGGTTGATCGGCCAAAAACTGCAGTCGGCGCACCCCTACTTTTTAACACCGCAATCTAACTGCTGAGATGTCGCTTGAGCTTTCATTAGTTTCTAGAGGGGTGATTCATCGCTAAATCAAACAAATCAGCTGTGTTCATAATCTAAATAACGTCCTGTAGGCAGACTCCAGCTCCACTCCTCTCCACAGCTGCAGAGCCTAATGCGCTGCTGCACAGGTGGTTCAACCACTGAAAGAAGTGCGCTGGAGCAGAGAAACCACTAAAACATGCTGGATACCAGCCCTCCAGACCCGGAATTGAATACCTCTGCTGTAAAAGGTCAAATGTGAAAAGGTTGCTTAGTATCCCTTTAATTTTACAGATTGTTATTAAAGACAAAGACATGCAGTACAAACAGTATTCATCAATAACAGATGCAAGAATCTGCACACTGTGGCGTTATTCTGCACCAATTTTCTGCCCTATTTTGTTTTTTATCCTTCAGTTTTCTTTGGAAAAAAGTCATCTGTTTATGTTTTGTCATTCGTCAAACGACAAAGGCCCAGGACTGAAAAGATATGTTAATTAGCCATCAATTTGTCCCCTCATTCAGCCACTTCTTTAGCTGTATAATGCAGTACAGCGGGGCACGTATCTCCATGTTTGCTCGTTCTTCTTTTTTCTTGACTTTTTTTCTGTTCCTTCACTTTCTATTCTTCTTTCTCTACTATTTTTATAACAGCATCCCGGCAGTTGGTGTCGGTATGCTAAAAATAGGTCATGTTTACCCTACAGTATTACAGTCTGGATTTGACAATGCAGATTTCAAACATGCTTTTCTCCAAGTCTCTACTTTTGTTGTGATTTTTTTTCCTGTCACTCCCATTAGTGCCCTTCATGTAGCTACCAGCAACACAAAGCCAGTCACCCTAGTCCCTGCGGAGCTAATCTTCACTAATTGCTGTAAGCAGTGATAGAGGAATGGATGCACGTCTTAGTTGTGGGATATTTCAGAAACAAAGCTGGATCAGGTGAGGTGAGAGTATGCCGAGGGCTGTAGCTCCAGCCACGACTGTGTTGATGATGGTTGGCTTTTGTGGTGAACGTAGACATTCAGCGCTGTGGGCTGCTCTGCTCCGTCCTCTCGCAGTAATCACGTGAGGGCGGTTTGCAACAGTCAGAGGGCTGCTGAGAACTTTTATTTTGCAAAGAGTCTATATTGAGAAATGGAAACCTATACGATGGAGGAGAGTTTGTATATTTTTTTATAAATACATGTAGCACCTGAAGATATTTTTGTTGTAATACTGGTGTAAGTGTGGGTTAATATTGTCCACATAACGTTTCAGCTGACGGATCAATCAGAAATGCAGCCATCAGCGTTTTGAAAGAGTGCACCTAATACTGTAATGCATGACACGTTATTGTTTACATTGTATTTTCTGTGTTACATGGTTCAGCTTGCAATGAAACTGACAGGAAATCAGTTTTCCCCCCGCTAATTTTAACCTGCTGTTTCTCCATTTTATTGACCTTTTAGTAAAATGTTACACTCTAAAAAATTTCAAATTTCATTTTCATTTACTTAAAGCTGCAATGGCAAATCTGGAAAACAAGCTAGCTTTTGAACATAAACACGGTCATGGAACACTCCCCCCCCATTGGCTATCATCCCTGAGCTGCATCCACCTGATACCATCAGCGACTTCAACTGGCATTTTTCTTTTTGGAACTCTTATAGTTTGCCCTAAAGTTGAAGTGGTAGCAGCCGGCTGTTTCTCCTCTGACATTAATGAGCAGAGAACCTCTCACACCAATGGTGTTCTGTTGCAAAACGCGTGAGTCCGTAAGGAGTGGAGGACCCAGGTAAATGTGGAAGTGCTGCAGTTCGGTGAGAGACAACTGGATGGTTCAGCTGTTGGTTTTGGTCTGAGCTGTGTTATTGGTGGAAGTTTTTAGACAAATACAAGAGAGCCACTTCATTAGTTTTTTTTTTTTGTTTGTTTGTTTTTTGCTCACCACTATATAGTTATATTTATAGCTATACTATGTTAAAAGGTTGTAAGTGTTATGAAAAAGATGTTTTATGCTAGCTTGTTTTGCAGATTGAGGCTTTAACCAATTTATGTCAGCTGGTTCCAATAAACCTAGTTGCTTAGAGGTGCAATAAGTAAGAATTTTACAGAGACATCGTCACAAAACAGTCTAATGTCTCAATCATCGTGAAAACAAAGGTTACACTGAAGCAGATTCCCTTCTCAGCCTGCTGGAGGGGTGTCAGTTTTTCTGCTTATACAAAGGCCAAAGAGGGACTTGATCCTTGTTTACAAACTGTCCTGCCTCTGCCCATACTTGCTGATTCCAGAGCCAGTCATATGTGAACCCTTAGGGTTGCCAAGTCTTTAACACAAACACTACTGCGCTGGCATTTGTAAACCGGCACCGGCCAGCAAAGAGCAGCAGGAGCGACCCAGAAGTTATTTCTTGTAACCATAAGAAGCCACAGCATCCTTTTTTGCTCTGTCGAGTAAAGATGGCTAGAGTTAACGTTGAGCTAACAATTCTATCGGTGAATTTGGGAGGAAAATAGTCAGCTAAAAAAAAACTCATAGTGGAGTACCCAAATTTGACCACAGGATGTCATTCCTATGTCCTGCACCTTTAAATGTAAAGACTAATATAACTTTGTTATAGGTTGTTTTGTCAGAAGTAAATGTATATCACTGTTTACGTTTAAGCAACTTGGTTTAGTGGAACCAGTTGACCTAGCATGACTAAGAAAATTCAACATTTCAGTTTTTTAACATGTAGGTTCATCATATAAAAACCAGTTCACAGCTTTTAATCAACAAAGTGCACTCATCTTTCTTATTTTGAGACCTGATATAAAAGTAGGAATGAAGTCAGATTCCTTTACGTTGCTGAATTGGCCCCTGTGTTGCATGGCAGTACCACACTCATAGTGGTTCAGGAAAGTATTAAAACCTGCACTGTGTACACCTGCTTGTGGTAAATCTGTGGGAAGTAGATTTGTTTAGTTATTTCTTAGCACGTTCTCGACTGTTATTCATCGGCACACTAACAGGCACAGGTGTTGCTTTCACTGACGCTTAAGAGTTCTTTTATTTATCACATCTCAGCTCTAGTCAAAGTTGCATAACCTCTTTCCATGTAAATATGTAAAACACTAAATAGTACAAGAGTGTCTTTTATATAGGCAGTATCCGTCTCCAACGTAGCCACTGTGACTAGACCAAAGCAATATAACACATTTATTTTCTTCACGCTTTCTGAGCTTTTGTTTTTGTATTTTTTTGGCTTATATTGTGTTTTCATTCATTCATAAAGTATTTAGTTGTCCATGTTTATTTTTTATGTGTACATTTCTTGTACAAATGACTGTTTTTAATTAAAGAGCAAGTTTTCAAACCTTAAAATGGCTTTTGGTGTAATTTGTTTTCATGTTAATTGAAACCAAAATGATGGTTTCTTCCTGTTAACGGGGAGTTTACCTCTCCACTGCCGCTACATGCTTCCCCAGTATGGGCGGGGATTGCTGTAAAGTCACTGACATAACAAGTCAGTGACTCCATGCAATCAGCTTGGTTTATGCTGAGAAATGATGGCTGTACATCTATTTTTGTCAAATCTGCAAGTATGTGCGATTGTGCACAATCTGTAAGCAGCATCCGTGTTGGGGATGTCTCCTGCTTCTATCACATCAAATTCTTATTATTTGTACAGCTAACTGAGATTTACCCATTTTTGTGTTTGTTGTCAGTTAGCTGTGGTGGCCACCTTTAATTGGATTGATTATGGGTGAAATTGGGTCAGTGTCTGGGCGTTTCATAAAAATCTGACAAAAAGACAAGACAAACTAACACTTATGCAGAAACTACCGTAAACATGGTTATCCACCTCTTGCTTTTGGGGTTTGGGCTATAATAACAGAGGTTTTCCTTGATTGACTAGATCTGATCCGTGAAATGTGCTGGTGGCTGAAATCTGAAAAAGGATTATCTGCAACCACAGAAGAACACATAATTTTAGCAAATTCTGCAGAAAAATACCTACGTCATTAATAAAAAATTACAAAAAAAATACAACAACCAAAAACAGTGAAGAAGATTTTGCTCCTGAATATTGACTTGAAATGTTGTAGAAATCCACAAAATCAGAGATTTATGCAGGTCAAATCTGAGAAATAAGCAAAAAAACAGATTTTTCATGTGAGATATGGAACCGTTTCAGAAAAAAGTGTCAAAATGCAGGTACTACAGCACAATAAATATTTATTTTTCCATAATTTTACAACTTATTAAAATTAGCAACTGTGTAAAAGGCTGTTTCACCTTTGGGATTTCCTTCTCTGGAAAATCTGATGCATCCGGTCATAACCAACACACAAATAAAGTCTTAACAAAAGCACCACTGCAGTTTTAAGAACTCTAAAGCATTGATACACAGTTTATTGTTGTATTTTAACAGCATGCAAGTACCTAAAAGTTCTCCTTTAGAACCGTTTGTGAGCAACTTTCTCTCTGTTCTTAATACGGCACGACGCACAGCACACTCTCATGCTCTCGTCTCTTCTACCAAGACACGTTTTCAACTATAATCCTGCAGATTTCTTGATTCTATATCGATGTGTTTTTCCAACCTCCTCATATGCTTGTAAAGCTTTGTCCACCGAATGATGTAATTAACCTTCTAAAGTGGCAGATTGCTTCACAGTTCAAGTACTTTTGCTACAACATTTTAAAAAAGAAAAGCAAATACTGAGCAGCGATTTGCGATAATCTACCCAGACAGCCTCCAAAACCAAAAGATCAGTTTTGACATCATACAGGAGTTTAATCTGGGTGTAAAACTGCAAATCTCATAACACAAACTGGGATAATCTCCTTCTGGCCGCTGGGCTGAAAACAGTAAAGTGCTGACCACTCAGACAGTGCTCAGAGGTCACAGCAAGGCTGTCGTGTGTCGAACAGTGGCACCGCTTCAATCTCATCATAAAACGCCCCTTTTTGAAAAGCCTGCTAGTCTGTTAGCTCGGATGCAACGTACGGGTTGAGTAAAATAAAAAGTTAAATTTTATTTTGTTGTTATAAAAAAATTGTTGTGCATCATGGCTAAGGTGATTCCCACTCTCTGTGCCTCCTCTCCTGGGTTGAACTCTGCAGTGCAGGTTGCAGGTTTTGTTCCTGTTCAGCCTGGCTTTAAGGGAAAACAAACATCATTGAGCAGGCCTCGTGGGACTTTTAGAAAACTTAGGGACCTTGACTACAAAAATCATGGGGTCTTTGGCCTTGTTGCTGAAGGTGCGGCGAATTACATCCACGGCATGTTGATGAGTCACCCCTTGCAGACTCTCACCATCCACCGACAACAGCTCGCACCCAGCCTGTAAATGCAGAGACACATGCCGATCATTTATGTCTTAATAACCCCCACTTTCATAAAACTGCAGGAACTACATAGCCGAATAAGATGAGGGGGCTTTCCCTCACACACACACACACACACACTGATGCTTGTCGCTAGTGCAAACATACAGTTTCCCCTTCGACGCGAGGTCAGAAACCAAAAAGGACACACAATGAGACACCTGCATGTGCAAATGTGTTCAGAGACCATTTGTTTCCTGCAGGATGCGAGCAGACCGTTGTGAGCCCCGAGAAGAGGAACTTCCTCTGATGTCATCAGCATTTTAACCAAGGATGCACCTGCTTCGTGTGCTCATTTTCACTGAAGGTTAGTACACAAGGCTAGTGGCCATTGTTTTATCTCCAGTAATCAGGCCTTTTGTCCTTTATTTTTGCTTTCCAGTTATCAGATGTTGCATCATTTTCCCTCATTTTGACCAGCTTGTCTGTACAACACATCTGGTTTATCTTAGGTGTGTTCTTGCTGTGTCTTTCTAAATCCATGCTTTCGTTCTTTTTTAAACACAGAAACAGTTTTGTTTACCTGTTTGTAGCTACAGTTTCACCGACGGCTGCCGGCTTCTTCAGGCTGACGCTGATGGTGGCGCGTCACTTCCTTCTCCGTTTATCTGCGGGCAGCAGAGGACGTGGATAAAGAACTCCCGTTAACTCCGTTAAAGATAAACGGAGAAGGAAGTGACGCGCCACCATCAGCGTCAGCCTGAAGAAGCCGGCAGCCGGCAGCCGTCGGCGAAACTGTAGCTACAAACAGGTAAACAAAACTGTTTCTGTGTTTAAAAAAGAACGAAAGCATACATCTGGTTTATTTATGAAGTCTTTGAGCCGCTGTCCTGTGATCACTCTAACAATAAACTCCATTCTGAGCAGCATCAAACAGATTTAGATATATTTAACCCAAAGAGATTTAGTTAAAAAGTTCATTTTTTAAAAACGTTTTTCTTGCCTTTGGTTGTAACTAAAAGCATGAGATTCACCACATCATCCATGTTGTCTTGAAGGAAATATTTAGCCACTAATATAATGCTCAGCTTCTGTTTCCTTCAAAAATTCACCTAACCAGGGTATTTGCGGGTTTAAAGAAGACACATTTAATCATTTTAAAACCCATCAGGCCACTTGGATCAAATTTAAGATCTTAAATTCTCTGAATGAAGAAAAAACAGTTAAGCTCAGTCCAAATCTTTATTGATACTGAAAATGCAGACAAATAAACACACAAATATCAAAATACTTACACTGCAGAGGATGAAAGTGCACTTAATTTCTAAAAAAACAAACAAAGCAGGACCACTAAACCTGCACTTCCACATGGCTCATGTGCCCCCTAGCTAAAGCGGCTGATGTACAGACATGAAAATAAACAATAGCAGCACAACAGCAACTTAAAGTCAGTTTTGACCCACTGTGTGTTGTTTTGCACCTGTAAAACACACAAAATCCTCATGATGAGAGCTTGAGGAGACGGGATGTTGACACTGCGCTGCCTGAGTGTCACTTCCTTCCACAGAGCAGCAGCTGATACTGAACCATGAGACTGATGTGAGGAAGCTGACATGTCTAATTTTGAGGTGTGAAGCTCAAACAACAGATAACAAGAGTATGCTGGAGCATGACAATGTGCTGCTATAAGATTATATACTGAAATGTATGTTTTATTTCAAATTGCCTGCAAGTTCCGGTGTTTTCTGAAAAATTTTCACTGGTCTTAAAGCTGTGGTCTGTAGCATTATGCCATCAAGAAGACGAGGAGAAGATTTTGAAATTTGAACGGCTATATCTCCTGCCCCTGATCCCCCTCCTCTTCTGGAAGGAGCTGAAATCCAGCTCACACTGCACATCACACACATGCACACACCTAGCGCTAACAGGTAATGTTTTCGAATGTTTCTGTTCAGACACACCTGATAGTAACTGCTGAATTACCTCGTCTGCAGGAGCTGGTAACAACTAGTTTTAATCTAATCTGCATGTGATCAAGCAGGAAAACATCTAAAACCAGCGAGGATCCAGCCCTTGCAAACGTTGCTAACGCTACACCAGGCTAAAACAATAGGGAGTCTAAGCCTGCTCCCTTTCCAGTTGACTCATGAGGCCCCGGAAGATCTAATCTGCTTTGCCTTACGCCCTGAATCACACATGCGCTGTACTTCAATCTAAATGAAAAGAAATTATGTGTGTTTTGACCATGCCTGTCACATACTTTGAGATTTATCAACTTGGAAAAATTCATAATTACCATGACTGCAAATCAGACGACGGTGTGTCAGATATGATGTCAACACAGAATGTCCTCACCCCTAGCGTAGCTGCTACTTACCACATGGTGGACTTATGATGATTCTTTTCTCCTGATAGAATGATTCAATGTTCGCTAAACTTTCATCAATTTTTCCTCTGCTTTTCTCTGTGCCTGATTAAAGGTTAAATATGGAACACGGACGCTCTGGCGTCCAGGATAAAGCCTAATTTATACATCTCCGTCAGCGCCACGAGGGAGGGACACGCATGCATTGACAGAGACAGCGTGCTCTCAGAGCACTCCTGGGGAGAGTTGCAAAGCAATTCCCTGGCAGGACAACAGAGGGGTGGCGCTGTTCTGTGGTATCCTCTCATATATCCGGTCCAAGTTAGAGCATTTACTATTGTGTTTATATTGTGTTTTTTGTATTCAAGAGTTGCTTTAACACGGACAAATTTGTCCCTCATTCTCCTTCACCTCTTCATGCGCTCACCACCCCTAAACCCACATTTCCCATCATTTCCGTCCACCAATAAAGCGCTTGCTGCGTATCATTTCACTCCTCAAGTCACGGGTGAATAAAACGTTCATATTTTTAGAGTTTTTCCGTAAGGTTTTCTTCGTGTTTGTCGCTAGATATCTTCGGCTCTCTTTGTGCTTTTGAAGCCGCAGTGGCGGCGCTGTCAACGACAGTCCTGATTAATCACAAGCTTGTGTCCTCCATCTTGTTGGATGGATGTTTAGAAAAGAGAGCTGGACTCTGTCCGTCCTTGGGAGCTTGCTGGAGAGCCCTCGAAAGGAGGGATAATGGCGTTGCGTGCATCCGTCCCGATGCAGATGGAGAAGTATAAATTAGGTTTAAGGACTAATTTCTACTACTAAGTTTATTTTACAACAGTATTTACCGTTAGAACATCTTCTGGGCTCAGAATCAGCTGCTTGACTTATCAAGTCCACCATTTTACACACTCCCTATCTTACCTTGCCGAGTGGTGCCCGATGGCGGTGCCCCTAGTGGCTGATAGATGTAAACACAAACCCAGCGTCGTGCCCGTTGATTTTTTGTTATTTTATTTAGCTTTTAAAGGAAAAACTGTACATTCATTCTGCACACCTTTAAACGACCCACGGAGCATTTATTTATTTTTAATATAGGTTTTTATTAAAATGTTCCATATTCCACCTTTAAATGATGTCAATTTGGCGATGCACATTTGTAGTCCTGGAGATATTTTCACACAAAAGCTAAAATAACTTCATTTCTTGGCCTCAGAATGTGTCTTCAAAACTCACAGACATAATTTGTGAAATCCACACATACCAAGCAGGATTAGAAAATAGCTTTTATAGCTCCGCTGACTTGCATTAATTTTTTCGCTCTTCCGGGGACTCATGGTCCAGAAGTAGATGGGCGTGACTGAGGCTCCCTGTAGTCTGATGTAGCGTAAGGTTGAACGCTACGCTCATTTCTTAGCTCCAAAATGCAAAAGATGCATTCCCTTTTGTTCCCCTTCCTCCTCTTCTACTTTTAGCTTAAAGTTTTCAGACTGACATTAATTCAGTGCTGGTCGAGTTAGCATTCAAGCTAGGTTGGTGTGCTAAGCTGACGTAGTCGCCCTCTGCTCTCGTGGGACTAATGGGAAATATAAGTTATAAAAGATTACCTATCTAATACAGGGTCAGATAGTCAAGTTTAATCGTTTAACCCTCTCAGGCTTAAAATAAGTTTTGATAAAAGGACAAACAACTAAGTCCTTCAGGGGTACTTTTGAGTTAAATGTTCATGAAATACGTATGTAGAGTAACCAGGGGTCTCATTTATCAAACATTGCGTAGAATCCTTACTAAAACCGTACTTAAGCCCAGCAAAAATATGTACTTATGCCAAGTAGGTTTTTTGTTCTATCAAACATGGAGTACGCACAGCTGCACGCAATCTCCGACTAACGAGAATGTTTCTCAGCTGCATTTTAGTCACATCCCGCCCTCACCACGCCCACTTACTGCCATCAATAGTCAATGCAAAGTGCCTTGTGGATCTCATACATATACATAAGCTGGCTGATGCAGCGCACCGCCAATGACGATGGCGGCTGTAGATCAAGGCAGATCAAGGAAGTGCAATTTCACAGAAGAAGAAATTGAGGTACTTGTGGGTGAGGTGGAGAAATGAAAGAAAGTACTTTTGCAAAACAAATAAGAGAAAATCCACGGAGTGGCACAGCGTTGCTGAAGCCGTCAATGCTGAGTTCTTCAGAGAGATCTGTGGCGGATATAAAAAAAAAGATCCGATCAGGATTCAATCCCCAGACTCCCGGGTGAAAGCCACGTGCGCTAACAAGTCAGCTAAATGGGGATCTCCCTTATTTGAGCAGCCAGGGCGCATGATCAATCGGGTCACAGTGACAGGACGCTCACACTGTCACAGAAGCATGACATTCTGTCTCAATGTGTTCCCCTGCTGATTTATGCTGTCCGTATTCTGGCTTCAGGCTGTGTGTGCACGTGCGCACGTATGTATGTGAGTGTGCGTGCGTGTGTGTGTGTGCGTGTGGGGGTCTTGTTCTGTGTGAAAATGAAGCAGTACAAGTGATAATGCTGCAGGATTTCATAATTTTACCCTTCTCAGCAGCAGCACTGCAGCTGCTCTCCGTGTCCAAAATGTGCGTAACCCAGGTCCTTAGTCAGCTTAAAGTTGCACACATTTTTCCGCTAAGTTTTCTTTCATAAATCCCAAAGTTTGAGTGGAAAGTTGCTTACGCAGTTTTCCGACCCCGTTTTGTGCGTAAGCAAGCTTGATGAATGAGGCCCCAGGTAGGTAGGTTTCAACGTTGCAAATCTGCAACGCCTGCCTCCAGAGGGTTAAGTTACTTTAATACTTTTAAATTACTTACCCTACCTTTGAGTGAATACCAGGATGTGTTGTGTTTATAAAGAAACAAGCCATAAGTATCTGTTAAGCATCTGTCTAGGCCATATATTACCGATACATTAGCAGACCACCATGCATGTACCTCATCAATAATAAAGGCGATGAGCTACCTGATATGTCTCTCCGCTCATCTTCTCTTCACCCATCAGTGCACAGCTTGAGTACCTCTTATAGCCACCGGCAGCTCATAAACACAGGCCAGAGATCTGACAGGTACTTAAAATCTACCTGAGCCTTGATGACTGAATGACAGATTTAAAATTTGTTTGTTTTGGTTTGGAGACTTTTGCCAGTAAACAACACATTTGGTTGTTAAAGAAAACAAGTTTTGCCTGCTCACCTTCAGAGCCTCATTTAGAGAGGCCGCTCCTCCTGGGAAGATCTTCTCTATCTTAATCACAGGCTGGATCTTAGACTCTATACCACCAGAGATACTAATACCTGTTAAGAAAAACAGATGTTAACAAAGGGAGGAACTGGCCTTAAATATAGTATTTGGGCAAATAAGGTGACAGCTCCCTGGGGGCAGATGGAAGGAGGACATTGTGAGTTACAGTCCCAGACTGGTTTAAGTCATATTTCAGACATTTTATTTTGCTTGTGAAGATGCGGAAATCCACAGGGGTGTGTGCTTGACCCTTTTTTCACTCCATATGTATCCTTTGCAATGCAAAATTGCAAAAATTACTCTCAGCTATAACAATTTGCTTATGTGCAAATTCAGAGTCATGGGTAGCTCATTCATTTGCTTCTAAACTCAGACATTTAGTGTATTTGTATATAAGTAATCTCACCTTGTTTTCCTTCGAATTTTACAGTTAAAAGTTTTATGACCTCCTTCATTCCTCTCTAAAATGTCAATTTGACATTTTAGCTGCAGCTGACGGAGAAAGATGACCTCAGTTTGGTTAAATTAGGATTTTTATGAGCGTTTAATGGAAATAATGAAGTGAATTTGGCATACTTTATTGTTTTATTTTAGGTTTTTGCTCAAATTTGAGACAGATTTGCTTCTATTTCACATTTCCCACAAGTGTGTTTGTATTTCAGTGACATTTTGAAGCCAAGGATCTTTCCCCCAGCAGGTTATGATTAAGAAACACATTCATTTTAGATTTAGAGCTAACGGATTTTGCCATTCTGAAGTTATTTAGATCAATATTGTTGAATGTAGTTACCCAGGGAGTTCTTGGCCTTGGTGATGGATAAAGTAGTGACTTCATATTCCTCATGTAGTAGAGTTTCTCTTCTTTTAACCCGCTGACCATTTTGAGGGGGTTCGTTCACCTGCTGACTGATTCCTCTGCCTGCGGAGGTGCTCCTCTGTCTTTGGGGATCAAACACATCTGCCAGAGGGGTTCTTCCTCTCCTCTGCAAGGGAACCGTCACACTGACCTCTGTGTAGCCCTCGTGTCTGCTCTGTCTGCCGTACACGCTGTCAGGACTCCCCTCCCTCCTTGCCCTCCCTTGACCATTCCTCACAGGTGACCTCCCTCGCTCATGGACGGCCTCTCCACGGTCAGATACGGACAGCAAAGAGACCTCATCGTGGCGTAGCGCCCCACTCTCTCTCCTGTTTTGGTAGCGGTGAGGCTGGCGCCCTTGTTGAATGTTGTAAGGTGACTCTGTGAGGGGGGAACTGCGAGAGGGTGAGGGACTCGTGGAGCGGGAATGTGTAATGGAAGAGGAATAACTGTCCACAGGTACATCCAGCAGAGGGGTGAAGGCACGGGAAGGTGGCACATGGCCTGACTGATGGCTGGCCAGGCGAAGCCTCTCAAACTCCTCTATCAGCTGACGCTCTCGCTGGGTGCCGTTGACCGGCTGGAGGTGGAATCCGCCCCTGTAATCTAGACAAACAGCCCCATCAAAGAGGTTTAAATTAAATCATCTGTGGTTGTAAAAATTGCATTTTTCAGAAAAACTTGCACATTTTCCAGTGGCCTATATTTGGTCTTTTCTCTGCAACCCTCCCCTTATTGGGTGGATTATATGCATGAATATGATTACTTCATCCTCTAAGCATGTTCTCAGACATCGCCTCCAACTTTACATGATCCAGATTATAAAGAAAAAAATAATCTGTTATGAAATTCTCACTGAGCAGAAAAAAACCTGGTTTTTCCAAAGTAGTACCTCCTTGCAATTTTTGAAGAAAACAGAAAATTACAGTAATAAAAGCTATATTATCATATATGTCCTTGATTTTTTTAATGAAATCTAGAAAACCATGTTTAAATCAAATGGATGATGAATTTTATTTACACCAGACCACATAAATTCGTCCATTTATTACAACCCTATGCAAAAACTATACGTAAATATGCATGGTAAAAGTAATAACGCATACATTTAACAAAACAGAGGCATAGTTTGCATTTTTTGACATTTCTGACGCACATTATCATTTTCTCTCATCACGTTTACTGTCACCAGTAGGGGGCAGCACAGGGTGACAGTAGTACACTTCTAGAAGAATGTACAGGTGAAACTGGAAAAACTAGAATACGTTGTAAATGTCCATTTATTTCAGTAATTGAACTTAGACTGAGAGACCATCTAAAGGCTCAGAAACCCTTTGCAGATGTTTCAGATTCATTAGCTGATTAGAGTGTGACACTTTGGGCCTAGAATATTGAACATTTTCATAATTTTCTAATTGTTTGAAATTTTGAATTTTAATAAGCGGTAAGCTATAATCATCACTATTGTAACAAATAAAAGCTTGAAATTAGCTTCACCTTTTAAAGTAACACTAAATAGTTGTTTTGTTTTTTTTACTTTAAGCTAGAGCTTTAACATTGATCTCAGTGCTGAGTTAGAAACTTGACATATATGACACCACTCTACAACCTGTTTTATGGCTGTTGGTGGTTATGCTATTAGTTAGCTTTTTTCAGTTTGATCGTCATTAAAAAGCACAAGAAGAAGAAAAAGAAGAAGTCTGCTTTTTTGCTGGCATCATGGCAGGGCCTGAAAGTGAAAGTAAGAAAGTAATGTCTTTGGAGGTAAGGCAAAGAGCTAAAACCGGAGTGAACACCGGCGCGGCCCACACTACTTTATGGGAGCTAAAGGAAGCTACAAAATCACAGACTGATGGTGGCCTGGCTTTGTTGCTATTGGACTTGCACGTAATAATTTTTTTTTGTCCAACAGTGTGGATCTTTTTAGTTTGTGGTTTATTTTGGTATGTTAGTGTTAGCGTGTTGTTAGCACTAGCTACAGCTGGGTTAAATTATAAATAACTTGTGCTTTTGTAGCGCCTTTCAGAGTCTGAGGACTCCAAAGCACTTTACATTACAGTGTATCATTCATCCATTCACACACACATTCACATGCTGATGGTGATGAGATACAATGTAGCGACAGCTGCCCTGGGGCCCACTGAGCACAGGAGCCACCAGTCCCTCTGACCACCACCAGCAGGCAGGGAGGGTTAAGTGTCTTGCCCAAGGACACAACAGCAGGATTCTCTGTCGGGAGCCAGGATCAAACCTGAAACCTTCTAATTTCCCTCTGGGATTAATAAAGTATTGAATTGAATTGAATTGAAGTGAATTGAATTGAATTGAATTGAATTGAATTGAATTGAACTGAATTACTGGACAACCTGCTCTACCTCCTGAGTTACTACTGACCCAGATGTAATTCCATTTTCAACCAATAGGGTAAAGGAGCATGAAACTGATTAGAGTTACTTTAAGCTGAGTTACTGTAATAAATGAAATTTTGCACCATAATCTACTTTTTCCAGTTTCACCTGTAGGTTGGACTCAAATTAAGTCTGAGTATAAAATCCATAATGGAAATGTGAGCCCCGAGCTTCCCCCAGGCAGATTTCCTCTGCTCTTATCCTGTCACATAATTTCTAAATCAGATTTTCCACATCCAATGCTAAATTTGACCCTACCAGCTGGTTAGCCTGCCAGTCAAAGAGTGAAATTATTGACTTAAATCTTACCAACACTGTTATGGAAATGTTATGTTTATTAATTCTTGATCATCGATTCAATCAACTGAATGTAATATGTATTGCCCTATGTCTCTTTGCATGCTCACTTATTCAGACACACCCACACAAGCCACTCACACACACACACATTCTTGACTTCCCACACACACACACACTCTCTCTCTCTCTCACACACATATGATCTCACTTTCATTCCTTTCTTATCTTTTGGTATAAATAAACTCTGTGACCAGATGTTCGGGGCATTTTGCCTCGTGCATATGCCACAATTATAACTGGTTGACTTGTTGACTGTCTCCTTTTCTCTTTGACTACAGGAAATGGGTTATTGATAAACATATTGATAAAATATGTACTCTGAAGCATCCTTACCTTACTGTACCTATGTGAAGTTGAAATATTATTTTTATAACTAGGACTGGTTTCGTGGTTCATTCCAGTGTTAGAAGCAAAGAGATTAAATTAAAAAGTCACTATAGGTGAAAGTTTCTGGCATAATGTGTCATGGTCTGTGTCTGCGTCTCCCCTCTTGTGTCTCCTTGTGTCCTCCATTCGTCTCTAGGTGCTCCTTTTGTGTCTTCGAGCGCCCTCATGAGTCATGTCTGCGTCTTCCTCATGTGTCTCCTGGGTTTCCCCATTTGCCCCTAGAACTCCAGCCCTCTAGGTTTCCCTCTTCGGATAATTCAGTCATCCCCAGCTCAGTGTGTGTGTGTGTGTGTGTGTGTGTGTGTGTGTGTGTGTGTGTTGAGTCCTGCCCTCAGTCTTTAGGTTTAGTTTTGTGTTTTAGAGTTTTAGGTTTATTTGCCCTCCCCTGGTTCTGTTTCCCCCATTTAGATAATTATAATCACCTGTCTTCCCTCCAGCCCTCACTCCACACACCTGCTGCCTATTTCCCTAATTACTCCTCCCTGTGTATTTAAGCCCTGTCTTGTCTCTGTTTTGTGTCGGTCCATTGTCTGTTTGTCAGCATTGTTTCGTGCTCTATGTGAGCTTATGTCTCCAGGTTTTGGTGCTCTAAGTGAGCTTTTGTTCTTGTTACCAGGGTTTTTGGATTTTTGGACTTTTGGCTCACTGCCTTTGGATTTATTTTTGTTTGTCCTGCAAAATAAAGCATATTTACTTTACATCATCTCCTGCCTCTTGTCATCTGGGTAATCTGCATTTTGGGTCCTAACCTTCCCCTCAACGTGACATAATGAGAGCAAACACATAGTCTATGATATTATTTTTTCATATGAGCTTGGGGATGCTGACAAGCTCACCCTTTTTCCAAGATGGGTTGATTCTTTTTTATTTCATTAGTATAAAAATGTTGCTACAGTTCTTTTACTACAATTTCTCCTGTTACTCCTATGTGATGTAAATCACTTTTTGTGTTTATTTTCAATTTTCTTTACACGGATTATGGCTTTTTTGTTAGCTGTTTAGTTTTTTGTTTTTTTTTTGGTTTGTTTTGTTGTTTTTATGCACACTGTGCTGCACGACTCTGCCCCCTGCTGATGTGAACTAGTAATTGCAAGTTCCTTGGGAAGGGTGTTTTTCCCATGTTATGTGAGGTCCAATTTTAACAACGGGTTGGCGCAACGCTTGCTGGTATGGGACCCTTTTTTGTTTATGTTTTGTTTCCGGTGAGCCATGAGTTTCCTCATGCCTCAAGAGGAGGGAAGGCTGATAATGATTTCCTCACATTACACTGCCTGGATGGAATTACTTTAAATATTGGATGATAAGGATTTTAGCTGAAAACAATTCAAAATCAACAGTGATCTCCCAGAATTTTCTTGGGCTTTTTTGCCACAGGTCGTGGAACCAGGAAATTGGGCTCCGATGAAGGTGCTGAATAGGGATGGGTACCGAATTCGGTACTTTTTAAGGTACCGACCGAATTCCATAGTACCGACTGAGCACCGATTCACGTCATTTCAAACGGTGCCTCGTTTCGGTACCCGTCCTTCATAACGAGAACTTGCCAAGACAGCTGCGCATGCGCAAGAGCGTTATGTCGTCGGTCGCTGCGAGCCAGTTGTAAACAGAGCAGCATGGAAGAAAGAATGCACGCTAAAGCTTGGGTCCACTTCACTTAATGTGATGGGTAACTGGGTGATGATGAAACCAGCGACAACGATCTAAGTGAGACATCCTCATCTTAATCTGCTCCGGTAGGTAAATAAAATGTTTAAGATAACGTTAGCTTGATATGTTCGCTTCTGTTTATTTCCGACTAGAAGAACATGAACGCGCTCTAAAGTTTGGCTTCACTTTACTAAATGCGACAGGTGAAGATGAAACCAGCGACAACGATCTAAGTGTGAGGCATCACCGTTCAAATCTGCTCCATCAGTTAAATAAACTGTTTAAGATAACGTTAGCTTGATATGTTAGCTTCCACTGCCACCATTGTTATTAGCTAATGGTGCATTCGTTTTCTCCTAGGAAATTTTAACTTCCCAGTGGGAAAAATCTAATGAAAAAAGACGGCAAAAGGAATTAAGATACACAGTAAATTTAGTTCACAGTAAAGATGTTTGCTTCAGTTTAATTATCAGCTTATAAAACTACAAGGACAATGTTAAAATACAAACAGTTGTATGTTATTTATCATGCTATTTATCAAATATGTTTACATAATGAGAAAAATATATATTTAATTATAAAAGTGAATTAAAATATTAAACAGTCATCGAAAATTGGTACCGTTAAGTACCGGTATCGATTCCTAGGTACCGGGAATTAGTACCGAATCGATTCAAATGTCAGAGGTACCCATCCCTAGTGCTGAAGCAGGACAATTGGGGCAGCCAGAGGTACATTCAAAGTACTCCTCACCACTCCCACTTCTGGGAAGATAGCTGAGAGGCCATCTTGGATTCATCTATCCCACTGCACGCTTATCAACGTCAACCGCTACTAGGGCGGCAACGAAGTCCGGCTTCACAGGCGTGTTGGCAACAATAGGTGTTCATGTCTCAACCCCGATGAAGATAAGATCAAGATAAAGATAAGATAAAGATCTGCTTCAAGCTTACTGGGTTCACCACATTGCTGATGTTGGTGCACTTTCATGGCCTGCACTTGGGCCACCTCTCAGTACCTGATGGAACAACTGGGACAGCAGCATTTGAGGGGGTACTAGAACTGGAACTGAAACGACGGATTGGGGTTCTTCCCTGACCGCACACCTTCATGACAACGTAACCTGCATCCACCTCGGCTGACGACCCCCTGGACACAACTACGACAGGACACAGCGAAGAAGAGACGCTGGAAAAGGATAACTGATTCAATCACCTGCACCCAAATCTCCAGACTGGTTTAACAGTCAAGGACCTGAAGGACTTTTCGGGGACAAGATCAGCTCCCTGTTAATTGGACAACCGCCTCGGCACGCAACGGAAGAACCCTGACGTCTTCCTGTTGAAAAGTTGCTCACATCCCGAACTCCATTATTGCACTCCGGACCTGGACTTCAAGGTACTCATCAACGTAAGACTGAAACCATCCTGACCAACGGAAGAGGACTCTGACTTTCAAACCTATTCTCCAATCTGGGCTCAGTCCACGGACGAGCCCTTTGATGAAGAACGCTTTGTTTGCCTCAGCTCTGCCCAAGTTAGGGCTGCATCATTCACAGAAAGACTCGTCTGCAACTTGAAGTTTAAATTAAAATCATCTGATGTTTCCATAAATTATACTGATATTTTCTGTGTATTTTATGGTTTTACTAACCCTTCCCAATCTCTTTACAGGAACTGCCATAATTTGTAGAATAGTGCATCACAGTAAATTCATTTCAATATGTATGAAATAGCTTTTCTTAAGGTTATAATTGTGTCGTTTTAGCTGATTCCATTCTCTATCTCTGTGAACTGCTGTAAGATATTCTTGTCAGTTGTGTTTGCCTTATCGTGTTTATTACCTTATTTGTTCTTATTATTTTGGTGATTTTTGTATTGCACTTTGTATGGAATGATTCTTTGGACGAAGTTATCAGGATTGAGATTACGATCCGTAAATGCAGCACCTCATGTTCCCATGATGTGTTGATTCTGACCCTTTCATAGCTGATCGTAGTGTTTATTAATTTACTTATTATTTTTCTTGTTTTGATGCTTATCATTTTTGTCTTGAGTTGCTTGATTTGTACCCTATTGGTCCTTATGACTACCGAGATGATCACCTTTCCTGGTTTCACCCCTTCCCTATTCCTTGAGTTATGATTGATGTAGCTTTCTTATGGAAGTGGATACAATTCCTTATTATTTAACTTATTTTTTTATTTTCCTTATTTGGTTTTGTTTTGTTGCTTTCTTTTGTTTGGTTATCCTATTCAGATAAACAGGAGGGAATATGTTATGGAAATTTTATGTTTATTAATTCTTAATCATTGATTCAATCAACTGAATGTAATATGTATTGCCCTATGCCTCTTTGCACTTATTCAGACACACCCACACAAGCCACTCACACACACACATTCTTGACTTCACACACACACACACTCTCTCTCTCTCTCTCTCTCTCTCTCTCTCTCTCTCTCTCTCTCTCTCTCTCTCTCTCTCTCTCTCTCTCTCTCCCTCCCTCCCTCCCTCCCTCCCTCCCTCCCTCCCTCCCTCCCTCCCTCCCTCTCTCACACACACATGATCTCACTTTCATTCCTTTCTTGTTTTTTGGTATAAATAAACTCTGTGACTAGATGTTCGGAGCATTTTGCCTCGTGCATATGCCAGTTATAACTGGTTGACTTGTTGTCTCATTGTCTCCTTTTCTCTTCGACTACAGGAAATGGGTTATTGATAAACATATTGATAAAATCTATGACAAACACTCATAATATTGATACTCCCTTGACTTGTGATGTCACTGGCCCAACATTATGTGTCCAAATGACTTATGACTGAAGTAATCACTTGAAACAACCTTGTAGTTTTCAAGTGCACTGCAGCATGCCTCAGTTCTCTCTGTGGGCTGCAGAGCTGTAACACAAGCCTCTGCTTCGGTGAAGACACAGGAAACCAGAGACGGTGAGAGCACAATGTGTGCATACATGTTTTCTGAATTGTTGGGGGCTGAGCAAGTATTAACAACAACAGGTCAAACAGAAGATGCTCTGTGTGTGCACGGGTGGTTCAGTTTGACAGACAGGTAAGTATTTCGATGAAAAAGTAGAATAGTTTTTGAAAAAACGAAAGTGATGCAGGTTGCATACCTGGAATTGGAGTGATGAGGTGACGTCGTGGGGTTCCACTTCGAGGTGAGCGCAGAGCAGGAGAACGCACTGGGGAAAAATTAATGTATATATATTTCTCAAACCTCCTTTGTGTTATTTTCCATTAATTTATCTATAATTTTTCTACCTAAGGTACAAGAAAATGACACTGGGAAGTGACGTTAGGTTTTGATTTGCTTACAAGAGCGACTCTTGAGAATATCATATGCTTCCAGCTCATAAGGCATCACCATGCTGTCAAAGCGACCCAACTCGGTGGTAGGTATCAGCATTCTGCAGAAGACAGAATCACATGTCTCAAGGTCTGTACTAGAAATCCAGAGTTTTCCCCTTTTCCAGAAATATGTAGGATTTTGTAGAAGTCCTCAAAAGGGATTGTTTTACCCTTTACTGTAATATAATGTAGGCATTGTGTCAACCTTTGCTGTTAAGCCCACCCCATGTCCCATAGAACAGCATGCAATTTGAAATTAGCGCAGCTGAGCACTAGCCAATAATTACAAATGTTAATCACAAAGCATCTAAAGTATTTAGACCGAACGGCCTCTTCGTGCTGTTTATCCAATCCAATCCAATCCAATTTTATTTGTATAGCGCATTTAAAAGCAGCATGTCAGCTGACCAAAGCACTGCACAGTTAAACCTAAAAAGTCATTCAAATTCACAAACATATACATTAAACACAATTAAAAACTGTCATAGAATAGAAACACCTAAAATCAAAACAAAAATTAAAACAGCCAATAAAAGCAGAAGTCAATGAAAACAGAAGTCAGCAGAAACAGAAGTTACAAAAAACAGAACAGAGGCACAGCATAAAAGAACGATCATTGGCCCAAAGCTAAATTAAAGACATTTAAAAAGCTGCAAGGACATGGAGAATCAGCTGGAGAAGCTGCAGCCGTCTCCACAGCTACAAAAAGTACAGAGTCCATGTTCTTATATATAAATATATATATATCCCAAGGACATAATTTTTGGGGGGAGGACAGGGGGGACATGTCTCCCCCACTTTTTGCAAAGCCAAGTTTTGACCCCTGCACTTTTAACTGTCCAAAAACAATATTACGCTATATTAAATAGACACTGGTTGAGCACCAAGACCAAGTGGAAAACAACCTTTTGTGTTGAAGCCCGTTTCCCAGTAGAACATACTGTAAAGGTCCCTCCCCCGGTCCTCATGCCGGTTGTGTCCCCCCACACACTTCTAAAGTAAAAATTGCGTCCATGATATATACATAAACAGCATATTGTGAGAATAATAATTGTAATATTAATTGCAAACGTGCGCATTCATTAATGAGAGGAATTGAGAGGAAGCAGGGAGAGGACAGCATTTTTTCTGCCTCTAGGTGGTGCCTTCTGAGAAAAAAACTCAGGATTTCTGCTGTAAACAACAAGCAAACACACACTTACACACACACACACACACACACACACACACACACACACACACAGTGTAAAAGGATTGTTTCACACCTTATTTCTCTGAGAAGGAGCAGCTTCTCTGGTCGATCTAAGATCGCCAGGAGAGGGCGCACCAAATCCTCAATGACAGCATCAGAGAAAAACTGCAACAAAAAAATAAGTGATCAGAGCAGGAATCAGAAAAACAGGCAGAAAGTTGACTTATTTTACACAGTAAGCACATGGGTCAGCATAAACATACAGAATACATCCAGGTGAGTTTATTTTTACTGCAGGAATAGGACCAGGATTGTTTTCCTGCAGTAGCCTTAAAGTTGCTATAATGTGTGTAAGGGGTTGCTGGGGGGGTGGGGGGCTTCCTCCGGTGTCCGTCAGCGCAGACTGAAGAGCAACTGCAGTCAAGAATTGGGGTTGGAGAGCCATTGCTTTGTCAAATCTTGCTGTAGCTTCAGCAACCCCAAGCTAGCGCTTGGCACCGCCCATGTTTAACTGACTTCTTTCAGTTGTTATTAAAAGTGAACATTTTCCAGTGAGAATCAATGAGATGGTCAAATCAGCTACAGGTGCTATAGTTTCATAAGGCTAGAAAACACCAGAGGACTAGGCTGTGTGAATTTGATCCTAAGTCTAGACGACAGGTCCAGTCTGGCTTTTGTCCCTGTTAGACACTTCAATCACTAAAGAACAATCCATGACACCAAGAACAACAGTGAACACTAAAACCTGCATAGAGCATAGCTGATGTTGCACACACACACACAGGATGGTGTTAAGAGACTCATTTCAGATTGACGACTCACACGTCGACAGTGTCTCATCACGGCGGCCACCTCATCGGGGCTGAGCAGCTTCTTTGCCATGTTCTCCACATGCTGCAACGTCTCCTGTTGAGGCAGCGGGCTCCCAGCTCGAGATTCCTTCGGAGAGCTGAACAGCTGAAACGGACGACTTCGCTCCTTGTCTAGGAATTTTGTTTAATGTGACAGAAAATGTTTACTTTCATACTCAATTTAAAGGCCGCAGTTATAAAAATAAGATTATTACTACACACTGATGAAGATCATAAATACACTCATGAGCACAACATGCTAGCTGACCTGAGACGCATAATCAGCCTGCTGTGTTCCTCAAAAAGCTCCACATCAAGAATTACACAGGTCGTTGAACCAAATACCCTTGTCTTGTTTATTTATTATTATTATTATTATTATTATTATTGTTGTTGTTGTTATTAAGAAGAAGAAGAAGAATAGTAAAAATACCTTTTATTTAAAAGTGCCTTTAAAGAAACACCAGGACACTTTACAGCAATAAGACAAAGAAACCAAGTTACGAAAACAGCAAAAAATGCAAGCTATAATAAAACGATCACTACTAAAAACACAGTTTCTGGTGGATTGAAAGGCTCAAAGGCCATTTAAACACTACAACAGATTAGAACACAGTTCGATTTTAAAATCTGCTGCTTAACTCTCTACCAGATAGAGTCTACATACAAGAAATAAAGTGACCTCAAGTTAATTTCATTTGGTTTGATGAAAAACTCTTAAACGTCACTTTTGTTTCTTTACAACTTCAATTACCTTTGTTCAAGCAATTTGTTAAAGGTGTGGAGCACTTGTTTAATCAATGCATTTGCAGCGGTCTCTAGTAAGAATGAATGCCTTGTAAGTTATACTCTGTACAAAAAGCCCTGGTGCGCCTGTTTCAAGAGCTAAAAGGCCCAATCCTAAGACTCACTCTTCCACCCTGGGCCTTCAATTGCACGTTCCAGTCCAGGGGTGTGAGCGCATAGGGTGTCCCAATCCTCAAATGCAGAAGTTGACCATGCCCCTTTTGCACTCTTGATCTGCAATTGGCCTATGGCCCAGTCTCAGTACTCGCACTGCACCCTGCCGACTTCTGCAAAGTACACCGTAAGGCTTCGAGTGAGTAGTACACACATGAGCAAATAATTGTGGAATTGAGACTGGATGCATTGCGTCATCGATCGCAAACGCATGCCGGGATGCTGGTCACTGTGATACTTTTTTCAAAAACCTTTCTTAACAACTTTTAAACAAACAACCAAACAAATATTTAAAATAAATTTACATTCATTGCTGCTTTGTCCAAAACATTCAGAGCAACAACTAATCGTCTAATTTCATTAGAAAATACACATTTTCAGAAAAGGAACTTGATCCTTTTTCGCGCAGCAATGAATTGTGGGCACTACATTTGCTGCGGACTTGGGTGAAGTGTGAATCAAGGGTGTAAAAGGGGCGTGATCAACCAGCACTTGAGAATCGGGGCACCCTATGCACTGGCAACCCTGGTCAGCATCACGCAATTGAAGGGCGAAAGGGTGGAAGTGTGAGTATTGGGATTGGGCCAGTGTGATGTCACGGTCATCAGCTTTATTTTGCTTTGACCCTTTTTTAACACTTTTTGAGTCCTACAAAGCTAACTCACCGTTGTTAGCGTGGTAGGATGGAGACTTTGAACGACTCTTCTCTTTATGGTCTTTCTTGAAAAGCAGGTTGACAAATGTTTTGGAGCGTTGCAGATTTGGTTTACCCTCTGTTGTGCTTTTCTCTTTCTGTTGTCTCTTTTTCTTCCTCCTGTCTTCTAAAATTGAGAAGAAAATAAAGACAAAGATGTCTGCCTAAGTGAAAACATGGCTGTTTCTCAATACTCAAGGACGCTGGTACATTCTTGTGTACTAGACAAGTAAGTTTTTGGCAAGGACACCAGAAAGCCCATTCTATCGACTACAGGAGGACGAGGACGGCATTTGGAACAGAACCGTACATCTTTTGCATCATGGCAACAAGCACTACTTGTTTCTATCTACGGTTAAATGACCTGCCATGAAAATAAAAGTCTAGTTTGTTTCTTAAGTAACAAAATAACAACAAAAATATAATATTTGTATTACATTTCCTCCACTTTTGATCAAAACTGATAAAATACCAGCACTTTCCACTGTTAAGTGAATAAAAAAATACATTTTCATCAAAACAGAGCTACTCTGCTTTTATTTTGATGGTGGGTTAGCTTATTATCATTTTGAGGAATCGTGAAAAGTAAATCCAAATACACACAGCTAATTTTACAGGTTACACACAATTATTTACAATAACAGACAACTTAATATTTCTTTATTAGTATTTCTGATATAAAACTCTAGTTGTCCTCTGACGTTCAGAGTATAACGGTTGCGACGCAGTGCATTGTGGGATACTTTGCTGTCCCACGTCTGTAGAAGGACACATCGATGCATCCTCTGTACAATGGGTGGAGCAAAAACACATCCAGGAACTTTTTCATGATGCATACTTGGGATTGGAACATTCCTCGGGCCATCGTTGATTACATCCTACAAGGGCGTGAGGACACAATTACAGACAAGTATGCATATTGAGAAACGGCCATGGTCTATGAACTAACACGGGTATGAACAAAAATGGCATAACATCTGCTTCGTCGTCTCGTTAATCGGTTGCAGCGTTTGTGCATGATTGTCTTGTTAAAATGATCCACCAGACTTCGTGCAGCTCTATATCGGCTGAAACACTTTGGGGAAAGACTGTTCATTCCTCTTCCAGTCACCTCCTCTGTTCAGTGCAGTAAATCTGCCAATGTGGAAAGGAACACATTTGCACTGATAAATTGCTGCTACACCAATCTGAACTCACCCCCATTTATTGAAAGCGCTACAGTAAAGTGCTCCTGCATGCATAACTAATATCCAAACGCCCCAGGCCTCCACCGGGCCCTGGAGGTGTGAGGGAGCTGGAGAAAGGCTAATAACTCAAACACCCTATGCAGATTTTTAGTGAGTATTTCAAACCAAAAACTTGTTCTTACTAATTTCTCATGAAGGTACAACAAGTGGGTTTAAAGACGACTGATTGAATACTTGAGTCTGTGTCAGCCATGTGATTCTGGACCCAATTCTGCACCGCTTACTTCCTGGAATAAAAGAGAAGCGATGGTCTGAGAGGGGTTGTTCGTCGCTGCAGAATGCAGCTTGTCTGGTTAACTAGAAGGAGCCATAAAAGACTGACCTCTCAACAAAAATGACTAAAAATATAAAATTATGTCCTGACTGGACGAGTTATGGTAGTTTATTAGGGCCAGAGCCATCACTGAAGCGCATTAGATAATTTGTAACTTTTTTCTATTGAATCAAAGGTTATTGCAACCAAACAGTAAATGCAATAAACTTCTTTCTCTTTGGGCTTTTTGCTCCAGGGGTCGCCACAGCAAGTCCTCTGTCTCCATTTAGTCCTGTCTTCCATCCTCTACCCTCCACCAGCTAACTTCTCCCTACATCTCCCTTTAGCGTCTAGAAGGGACAGAGTTTGGACTTCTTGAAGACGCCTCGCCTGGCAGGCCTCGCCTCTGTCAGTGCGCCCCAGGGCAGCTGTGGCTACATCGCAGCTCATCGCCTTTTACACCTTTCTTTTCATTCTGGCTGAAACCCTTTTATTACACCTGACATTTTTCTCCACCTGTTTTCTTCTTCTTCACACACCTCTTCACCTCTTACCTCTCTCTTCGTAGCTTTGGACTGTAGACCCTCGTCTACCCTCTTTACTTCTGCTCCCTGGAACATCGCCGTTCCACTTGTGTCCCTCTCATTTACAAACACATATTCTGTCTCGCTGTGACTTATTCCGGATTTCCTGTACGTATCTCCACCTCTTTAGGCTTTCCTCTACCCGTCTCTCACTGCAGATCACTATGTCCTCTGCAAACATGAAGACTCCTATCTAATACCATGTCAGTGAATTCAATAAACTATTACCTTCCAAAAGAAGACCATGCTAGTTTGTAAAGTCAAACAATTACAAGGGTTCTTTGAGGTACCTCTCTGCTGTGTTTCAGCTCCACCTCCTCTCATTTATAAACAAGGAAACTGAAGAAATCATTTCAGAATCTTTTTCCTAAATCACAATTAAAGCACCAAAATAAGTCTGAAAAAAATTTTATGTTTTTTTAATCTGCAGGGTAACTTTATAACCAGATGTTCTCTCTGTTGCTGGGCAAATCTTACCTGACACAATGATGTGGCTCTGCGAACGTCGGATTGGCTTCCTGGGCTTGCTCAGGGCCATCAGGGCCTCCGTTTTAGGGGAGTGTTTTTCTGATTCCCGGTCACCAGCTGACCGTGTCCTCACGCGACCCCGTCCTCCTTCTCTGGCTCCTCCCATGTCCCTTGGCCCCTCTCCTTTCCCATGTATGATTGTGTCCTTCAGCAGCATCGTTTCACCCACAGTCCGACTAGTTTCTGGGACGACCAGCCTATCAGAGTCTGACCTGTGAGGTGACAGGTAACTTGGAGCTTGGGGGTCAGTCTGCATGGCGGTGTCAGCAGTTTGCTCTGTGCTGCACAGACGTCTGGAGTGATCCTCTGTGGAGATGGCAACGTCTACCATCCCAGAGCCAAAGACTGGAGGAAAGAGGACCTGGGAGAGTCCACTGAGGGAGCTGAGAGGGGTGCTGGAGGACAATGAGGATACGGAGGAGTTGGAGTCTGAACCTTGTGAGGATGGTGCAGGGCCACCATTGGCTACTGTAGAAAAAAATACAATCAGAAGTTTTCCCAGATTCGATTTGATTGAAATAGAAATTTATAGCATCATTTTTCTGGAAATTTGGGAAGACGGGAGCGATTGGAGGGCGACCTGCACCCACGGAAAGCACAGTCAGTGTGGAGACCTCACAGACTGGGACGTTACTCGAGGTGAATCGTAAGCTGGACAATGTTCTAGCTGCGTTACCGGTATTAGTGCGCAAAAGGGATGTCATCTCGGAGAGGGTCACTGGACGGTGTGGAGAAGTTTAAAACCTGAATTGCCTTCACTGGAGGACTTGAATGATCAGTTACAGACTTCAAGGCAGAGAGGAAAATTATCTCTGCCTGACCCAAACAAAGTCTTGTTATCCGAATCTGACGCCATGGCAGCCTTGTGATGCCAACAACAAACCCCCACGAAGGAATGCAGACAGATGCTGTGAAAACCCGACCTACCCCCCCACCCCCCACCCCCACCCCCCCGCCTTCGGATTGGTGGACTTCAGCCTGGCGAGGTCATCAACCTGCAGGTGTCAATGTGCTCTGCGCTCCTCCCAAGATCTCCCTCCCTCCTGTGGCTACAGTGGCTGAGCGCCATAGGGCTGCTCTTGCTGAGGAAACAGGAAAAGGGTTGGCGTGCACAAAATGCCTGGGACAATTATTACATTAACTGATGAGACCTGAATATATAGGGACAAATCTGTAATTGAGGAGAAAAGAAAAACAAACAGCACAAGCAAAAGGTGAGGAAATGAGTGAAAGCAGGATAGGCAGCAAGATTTGGACACATTTTAACTACAGTGATAATTAAAAGGCAGAGTGTGGAATATGCAAAGGGAAAATATGTCCTAAAGGCTCTAATAATTCAAAGTTAATAAATATTTTACTTGCAGAGTTTGCTTTTGTCTGTGTGTTTTGTAGCACTCTGCTTTATTTTGAAAAAAAAAAAGTTATTTAGACAATGAACATTTGATATAAAGTATATTGTAGATTAGTAATTCAGTTTACGCACAGTTTGTGGTAACAAATTCATTTAAGAAACAAATATGTAAGGAGCCATTTGAGAGCCGAAAGAGCCGGTTCTCTTAAAAGAACTGGAGTTCCCATCACTACCACTCAGGCTGCAATAAGCTGAGAAGCTCCGTGATCGAGAAGGGGCTCTAAGTAGAGCCGTTGCTCCTCCAGCAGCAGTTCTCTCTTTCAGGCAAGAGGTGGTTCTATGCTAATTTCCCCAATTGTGACATCACAAACGAGGATTTTTGAAATGGCTGGTTTTAGGGACATAATTCCTGAAACCAAACACTGACAGAAAACAGATGGAGGGTTTGTTTCATGCTTTAGGTGTTTTTGGAGGCACTAGAGACCAACACAGCAGCAAAAAAGGATGCTAAAGATGAGTTTGGCATATTATGTTCTCTTTAAAATACAAATTAATTTAAAAATTGCACCTCAAAGAATAAAAACCAAAGAGGTGGAGGGTTTTAGACCATCCAAAAAGAATCCAACAAGTAACTTTAGCAAGTAAGCTGAGAATAAAACACAATCCAATCTTGTTTTTTTCGGCCTTATTGAGTTACCATTTCTGTCATCGTCTTTTAAATAACACAGTTTATCATTAAATCTTTCGACAACTAAAGTTAATAAATATATTTTTGAATGTTTAACATACATTTGTCAAGCCAGCCGTATTCTGCTACCATTTCCTTGTAGGCAGGGTATCTCCCAGCTTCCTGTGAAAACCACAAACAACGATGCAAGCACAATTTATGTTCATATTTTCACAAGAACAATAAACATATTTTAGAAGGTTGGACACTAATTAGAGCGATGGGGATTTTTATATGAATAAGTTTATGTTTTAGTTGATGGTTTTATGTAAAAGGTCGCTCACTAAATACAAAGATGTGCATTGTGCTTAGGTTATTATACCCTAACTAATCAATTTCAACTCAGAACAATGATGTAACTAAAGAACACCTGATGCACTTTCTGTCAAAAGAATATTTCCCCAGGTCAGCGTGATAGTTTAGTCTCATTTCAGCTTCAAAAGAAGAAGAGATTTAACCTCACACCAACTTGACTGTCTCTAATCCATAATGGGGTGTCATGGTCTGCGTCTGCCCCTTCCTTCATGTGTCTCCTGATGTTTCTCCATCCTTTCTAGATTCCCTTCTGTGTCTCATAGCGCCCTCATGTGTCCTTTGTCTGCATCTCAATTATGTGTCTTCTGTTTGTAGGCCTTCATATCATTCCCTCAGGTGCGGTGTTCATTTAGTTATCCTCTGCCCCTCCAGTTGTAGCGCCAGCCTCTTGTTCCCCAGCTCAGTATGTGTGTGTGTGTGTGTGTGTGTGTGTGTGTGTGTGTGTGTGTGTGTGTGTGTGTGTGTGTGTGTGTGTGTGTGAGTGCATTTGTCTGTGATGGTGTGTGTGTGTTAGTCCTTCCCGCAGCCTTTTAGTTTGGTTTTGTAGTTTTAGGTTTATCTGTCCTCCTTTGGTTCTGTTTCCCCATTTAGATAATTATTGTCACCTGCCTTCCCTCCAGCCCTCACTCCACACACCTGCTTCCTGTTTCCTTAATTGTTCTCCCTGTGTATTTAAGCCCTGTCTTGTCTCTGTTTGGTGTCGGTCCATTGTTAGTGTTATTCTGTCAGTCTCATCTCGTTTTGGATTACCAGTGTTCTTGGTCTTCTTGGATTTTCTAGAGTTTTGGATCTCCAGATCTTTATCTGGAATTTTGGACTACTGGCTCCCTGCCTTGGAATTATTATTTTTTGTTTCACCTTAAAATGAAGGATTTTTCTTAATCTTCATCCCTGCCTCGTGTCATCCTGGGTAACTGCATTTTGGATCCTACCAACAACGTATCGTGACATGGGGTCAAATACAGGACTGCATGAAGTCATAAAATTACACCTTCTGCTGATTATAACCTGATCCCGGCATGCATTTAAATAATGAACGCTGTCCCTGGCTGTTTATCACACGTGGAACCTGAGATCAGAGGAGTAAAGTGAGCTACCAATACTCAAACACCACACACACACACACACACACACACACACACACACACACACACACACACACACACACACACACACACACACTCGCTCACATGATTTCTTTATTGTGAAATGACACAGGTTAAGTGGCGTTGTCTCAAACACTGACACACTTAAAGGGAGCTGAAGGACTGTAAGTCACAGAAATACTGTTGCTGTTTGACACGCTAACATCTATAAATCTCCAGTGCTGGATTTTTAAATTCACACCTTTAACCTGTTTGTATTTGTTTTCTTTGCAGTTTTGTTGCTCCTCATTCATATTCCAGGATATATGAAGGAACATAAATGTTTAGAGGCGAGTTGCTCATAATTTCGCTCTTTTGTTTTACTCCAGCTCCTGAGTGGAAGTCTCCATGATTACAATCAAATTATTACTCAGTTTTTTTTTGGTTCCTGCGAACCTATTTGTCTCTTTCCATTGTACCCTGAGTATAACCAGCCTTGATTTCTGTGACACTCACTGCCACGTCTCCGTTTCTGTGTTTGTTTGAGTTACATTTATTTTAGATATAATAGTTCTATTGTCCATACCAGTGGTCCTCAAGCCCGCGGGATTCACTTTTGCTTTCACTAATGAACAATAGGGGGTGCTAAAAGCAAGCCATAACTGCCTAGTATCCCTTTAAAGAGTAACTAAACACCAAAATAACTTTTTGTTGCTTATAAACTGTATAACTGAGTCTTTACAAATGCAATATTTCTGTTTCTATGCATTTTTTGACATGTTGGTGTAAACTTGATTAAATCTAGAATGTAAGTCTGAAAATGTCTTAGTGCTGCCCCCTGTGGGTTGAACAGCAGCTACTGCATTTTAAACTTGTGATTGACTGGGGCTGGAACAATTTCACATCATCGGTACAGTCTCCTGCCACTCCCCCTCCCTCCCAGGATGAAAATTCCCCACACTTGGCCATGCCACTCCGTGCCTCCTGGCAACACCCACTTTCATAGCATTTTTCAAATCTGGACTAGGGGTGGAGTTATGTTTTCTGACGGTGTGCAGTCCCTCTTTAACAAACAATTAGCCAAATTTATTGAAACAGTAGGAGTGATTTGAACGACTACAAATCCTATCCAACTACTAAAATAACAATAAATAAAAAATAAAAACAAATGAGGAACTACTTTTTTGACCTACATAACATATTTTTACTCCTTTGTGATGTAAAAACGCCTGATTTATGTGACTTTGTGTCTGCCGTGGAGCTAACCTAGAACACTTTCTCTCACCCTGATGGTCAACATGACATGGGTGTGGCTCTTCAGGACCTCAACTGCGTTGCTGTGGGTGATGTCTTTGAAGCTCACCCCGTTGGCTGCGAGAATCTGATCCCCCATTTTGATGCCGTGCTGCTCTGCAAGACCACCTGGATCCATCCTGAAAAGAAGAGGAAGATGTTCACAAGCTTAGAAAGTGTGCTGGAATAAGAAGGCTGTTGTTGACATGGAGCAGTTTAAAACGACAAGACGCTTTATCAGAGCACAAGTGTTATTTTATATAAAGATGTGTTCAACACGCCTCACAAAAAGCAATCTAAGCATTAGATAAATATGTTTCAGGTCTTATTTTTGCATTCATACTTGGAGACATAAATGCCCAGTCCAAACTCTTTGCCTCCTCTGATGTTGAAGCCCAGACAGTAGTCGTCTGACGTGGTGAAGAGATGGACGATGCGGCGGAGAGAACTGTCTGAGCTGGCCTCTGACGGTGTCTGACCGCTCTCCTCCACCACCATCCGTCGGTGAATTAGATCCACCCTGAGGACATATCGGAAAAGATATACGCAGCTTTTGCCTTTATCCACTAAGCTCAAATCCGTCAGAATCAGTTAATCAAAAAGTAATAAAGGTCACAGCAGTAATCCACCCACTGCTGCCACATGAAACCAAGATGCAGTATAACTAGCTCAATGCCAGTGATCAGTTTCACAAATAAAAAGGGCTAACAAAGCGCAAGTGATAAAATGTGAAAATAATCGGACTGAAAGATGAAATTCTCAAACTGTAGCTGTGAACCACCTAAAGAGTTGATTCAAACTGAGCTGACTCTTCTCACCATGTGGTCTTCTCCTTGGAGTAGCGGATGCCCGGGATCTTTCCCACTCGCCTCACCACCATCCTGAGCCTGTTGTTTCCTGTCAGGACCTTCACAGCGCTGCTCATGGTGATGCTCTCCAGGCTGACCCCATTCACCTCCACCAGCTTATCGCCCACCGTCAGCCCGGCCTGCGCTGCAGACACCCATGCAACTCAGCGTGATCAACAAAAGCAAAGGTCACATGTAAACAAATCAGCACATCTACATATGAGCACAGAAATGCAAACGCTGTGTTCTTCACACCTGCAGAGCTGTCGTCCTCAACTTTGCTGACAAATATGCCAAGTCCATGCTCAGAGCCACCACGGACGCTAAAACCAAGCCGCCCATCTGGTCTCTTATCTACTGTCAGTGTGTGAATATCTTCACTGTCATCCCCTCCTACCAACACACAACAGTAAGAGATAACAGCTGATCTAGGATCAGAAGAACAATTTTAGAAACTTGGAAACACCAACTTGCACCTTGTCTTCTTAGCAACATAAGATAATAATTACAGTGTCCAGTAATTATCTGATAAACATGTGTCTATAGAATCAGATCATGTAAATTTTTAACATTTGAAATATTTCTTTGCGGAAGCAGAACACACTTTTGTTCATTTATTGTTAATTTCAGGTAATATCAGTCAAAATATAGTTTGGTTATTTAGATGGAAAACTTTTTTAGCAAATGAACTCTTCATTTCTTCCTTTAAAGTGATGATGTGTGTTTTCCCTGACGACAGAAGGCGGTATACCTAAATCATTGCAAGCAAGCAGTATTTTAGTGTTTGAGTAAGACCTTACCAACGGATAGCCATTAGGGTCAAATCTCCCTGGGAGCGCAACCTCCAGCTAAATGACAAGTGCATCAGACTCCCTTTCATCACTGGCAACGAGCGAAGAGGTAAATGTGAAAAACAACAATGTTTATGAGTGGTGAAATATTTGTAACCTTTTGTTTCACATCAGTAAATATGTTTTGTCCTCACGGGCTCCTGTAGAAAGAAACATGGCATCTAATAAGGCTTCGCCCAGAGACTTAGACCTACTCTATTGAATTTTAGACCTGATTGTTATGGTTATATGTTACGAATCTGCCAACATTTTTCAACAACTGGGCATCATTTAATTCATTTTCAACAATGTTTCGATGAATATTTGCAGATTAATGGTAAAAACTTCACAATGTCTCTTTAAGTATTTTAAAGTTTTTCTTGGAACTTAGGCTGCGTGTCCTGCGTTGTCAGAATTCTAAACTTGAACTTTGAACAATATGCTGTCATTGTCAAGTACAAGAAACACTGTGAAAATGAATGAAAAAACTAATAAATAAACACTTTTGTGTATTTTGTTCAGCTACTCGGCTTTGTATTATTTGTTGCATATCAAGGAGGACCCACTTGAAAACTACAGTAGATGGATCATCTCAAGAGTTTTATCCTAAAATATGAAAATAAACACACAACTAAATAAATAAATACATATTGTAATTGTTAAATTCCACTTTTACTTATGTAAACATGAATTTGAAAACTTTGATTAGTCATTTGTAGTTAATTTTATTTCTAGATTAGTTCATGTTTTTATTGAATTTGCTAATTTATTCATTCGTTCTTTTTTCAATTTTATTTACATGTTTATTTATTTGTTTGTTTATTTATTACCTCGTTTCCTTATTTAACTATTTACTGCTAACTCTGGCAGAATTAGCCCTTCACGGCATCTAGCTTTACATCGTTTAAACAATGCTCCTCCTTGCAGACTTTATCGTTGTAATCACGAGTTCTGAAACCTCACCATCAACCGGTGCATTGATGAGAATGACCCTGCCCATAGGTGAGGAGGATTTACGTCTGTGGTGCTGCTGTTTCTTCAGCATGTAGCGCGTGGAGCTGTGGGAACCCCCATTCTGGCTTCCATTGTTCAAGTGGGGGTGCCCGTCTCCATTTGTCATCTGTCTCCAGGTGGGAGGGTGAAAGGAGTCAGCCATGCTAAGTCTCTGGAGGTGCTTTTCTTAGTCATCCAGGCAAAAGGATATGAGGGATCATCTGCTAGGGTGGAGGTGTTGCACAATGACGGGAGTGGAGAACTGGAGAATTTTGCTAGTTTACAGAAAAATGTTCAATAAAATACTGACTAAAGTGAATTAAGTTAATTAAAAATATTAAAGCTTGATGGCTTGTTGATAACAACACTGATGTTGTTTGAAATTGCTTTCAAACATAACCACACCTATTTAAAAAAATGAGCAAAAAATACCCTGAAAACATAAACAAAAAAAAAAAGCAATCCTTTAGGGAGGAACAGCTCATTCAGGGTTTAATCTTACACGTGTAGAAAGAAGGTAACTAAAATCCACAGTTCTTGTCTGAAGCCATCTTATCCCAGCTATTGGAAACGGGTTGGAAATGCTTCACCTGAGAAGTCCAACCTGGCTGTAGTGGAGTTGGCATGCTGATTCCTCTGGACTCATGTTTAATTAAATGAATATCTGTGGAAACGGAAAGATGCAGTGATAAATAAGCAGCTTCAGATGAAGTTGGAGTGTGGGAACTACTTGATGTTGGTAACTTGAAGTATGTATGAGAATAAAAATAAAGTTAAAGTGTCGCAATGACGTGTTTCTTTATTCAGCACTATGGACAGCGACTCGCCCATTTTATGTTCACCCACGTTCAGAATTTAGGACAACTTTGCTGTTTATCAACCTCAAAGCCACGTGAGTCGTGTAATTAAAGTTTCACTACGGGTTAAATTACTCATCTTAACGCGTACCGACGTGAAAAATATAACAAACAAACTGATAACAGTTTCTAAATGAAGAGAATAAAGCATGACAGTGTTACCTGCTGCCTCCGTGTCTTGTACGAACATGCGCTCCCTGGTCCGCCTGACAGGCGCATTACTGGACACCCCCGGAGTATTAGTGCCACCTCATTTGTTCTCATTATTGTCTTAAGAGGCATAAGCTCTTTATATAAGCTCCTACAGCTGTGAGGTGATGATTAAGTACCTTACACTAATTGCACAAACATTAAAATAACACTTGTGTTTATGTCCTCGGGTAAACCTGGTTAATTCCTGGGGTTATATGATCTGGTGGAGAGTACGGATGAATTTCTGCTTTGGGGACGGGTTAATACCCCCACCCGGTGGCCAATGTTGCAAAATGTACTTTTAGAACAACTTGTAACTCTTTGAAGCTTCGTCATATTTTTTTTACCAAATACATTTATTTTTATTTATAGATGTAATTATTATTTTTAAAGTTATTTTTTTTTTATTTTTGAAGAGCCAAAAACGAAAATGAACAATTATTCGAAAGAATAATCAGACTTTTCTTTTTGAGGGTTGCTGCGACTACGGGAACACAATTCAGGCTCAAACTAATGCCCAAACTGCAAACATTCCTAAACAACGCTAAAATGTATTGATCTGTTTACACAGTGATTGCGTCAGCAGTTTTTTGACCAATCGCGTGTTGTCTCGTCTCTCACGCCCACTCAGGTTCCTCGTGATAGACCCCGCCCACATATTGTAACGGATGCTGCTTTCATATGACAAATGAATTTTTTTTAAGTTAATGCGGTTTAATTTGGTCACAGTAGTTGGTTTTTTTTTTATTTATTCTTAGATTATGGGGAGCAGAGCCTTCAGCAGCTCTGTTCCCCGTCTCTGTAATTCTCTCCCTCAAGCCATCCGTACCTCTGACTCGCTCTCCTCCTTTAAATCTAGGCTCAAAACCCACCTGTTTCAGACTGCAAACTGCTAGTGTCACCTTTTCCATCTTAATTGATTTTATTATCTAGTTTGTATTTTTAGGTTTCTTTGTGTGAATTTAGCTTTTTTTTTTTTTGTTATTTTATTGTTGGAAAGTGTCCTTGTGTCCCTTGAAAGGCGCTTGCATTGCCATAGCTTCATAATAATTATTTAATTTATGCAGCTGCAGTTTCTACAAGATTGTTGTGATGTTAGCTTTTTGTATGAATACCATAGACTGTACATACAACCGGTGACGTAGTAATCGGTCTGCGCATGCGCATTTCCACAAAGTATCCAAAATCAACGGGTAGCACGGATAGTCTGGACACCGGCGGCGCTGTGATATTGAGAGGTCATACATGTCCAAAAATCATATAAATTATCACAGGTATGTTTGATTGGCCCAGTGAAGTTGTAAAACTATTTTAATCGGTATTCTGACAACGTGTTTTTGTGTGTTGTCTCGTGATGTGGCATTTAAATGCTACCTAAGTGTTAGCATGGTTTCTTTAGCTTGTGTATCCTCTTGCTAAGTGGCTGATTATATCTGTGAAATTGTTCATTTTTATGACAAATTAGACGTTTATTGTTCTGCCTGCCTTTGCGGAACAAGATATTTGGAATAGGTGTGGTTTGAATGGCCTGAGAATATTTCTGTACTCCAGCAGTCTGTATGTTTCGGTTTCACTTTTGGCTAACTTGTTAGCTTGAAAGGCTGCATTGCTAAGGGGCATGTTCTGTCCAGTCGCCATACCTTGTCAGACTGGCATACCCGGATTACACAGTATGCCTGTCTGACAGATGTTGTCAGTCAGACAGGCATACTCTGTCAGATCGTCATACCTTTTTTTTTTTACAACGGTATGACATCCTGATGGGTGGTTTTACCTGTCAGATCGTCATACCTTTTTTTTTACAACGGTATGACATCCTGATGGGTGGTTTTACCTGTCAGATCGTCATACCTTTTTTTTTACAACGGTATGACATCCTGATGGGTGGTTTTACTCGTCGGATCATCATACTTTCTGTTTTTGACAACGGTATGACATCCTGATGGGTGGTTTTACCTGTCAGATCGTCATACCTTTTTTTTTTTTTACATTGGTATGACATCCTGATGGGTGGTTTTACCTGTCAGATCGTCATACCTTTTTTTTTGACAACGGTATGACATCCTGATGGGTGGTTTTACCTGTCAGATCGTCATACCTTTTTTTTTACAACGGTATGACATCCTGATGGGTGGTTTTACCTGTCAGATCGTCACACCTTTTTTTTTTTACAACGGTATGACATCCTGATGGGTGGTTTTACTCGTCGGATCATCATACTTTCTGTTTTTGACAACAGTATGACATCCTGATGGGTGGTTTTACCTGTCAGATCGTCATACTTTCTGTTTTTGACAACGGTATGACATCCTGATGGGTGGTTTTACCTGTCAGATCGTCACACCTTTTTTTTTTACAACGGTATGACATCCTGATGGGTGGTTTTACTCGTCGGATCATCATACTTTCTGTTTTTGACAACAGTATGACATCCTGATGGGTGGTTTTACCTGTCAGATCGTCATACTTTCTGTTTTTGACAACGGTATGACATCCTGATGGGTGGTTTTACCTGTCAGATCGTCATACCTTTTTTTTTTACAACGGTATGACATCCTGATGGGTGGTTTTACCTGTCAGATCGTCATACCTTTTTTTTTTACAACGGTATGACATCCTGATGGGTGGTTTTACTCGTCGGATCATCATACTTTCTGTTTTTGACAACGGTATGACATCCTGATGGGTGGTTTTACCTGTCAGATCGTCATACCTTTTTTTTTTTTTACATTGGTATGACATCCTGATGGGTGGTTTTACCTGTCAGATCGTCATACTTTCTGTTTTTGACAACGGTATGACATCCTGATGGGTGGTTTTACCTGTCAGATCGTCATACCTTTTTTTTTTTACAACGGTATGACATCCTGATGGGTGGTTTTACCTGTCAGATCGTCACACCTTTTTTTTTTACAACGGTATGACATCCTGATGGGTGGTTTTACTCGTCGGATCATCATACTTTCTGTTTTTGACAACAGTATGACATCCTCGATGCTCAATGCATTTTTTTTACAATTAGGTGAAAATAAATTTGCGATACACATTCATCAGTACATTTTTTTTTCCAATGAAGCTCACCAAGTTGGTGCAATGGCAAAAGAAAGCAGAATAGTTGATTCACTGATTCCTGTTATAAAGAGCAGTCTCCATTTGAATAAAAAACTGAACACGAAGAACTTAAGTTATAAGAAAGGGAATACAAACTTTATTTCCAAGTAAAACACACACACACACACACACACACACACACACACACACACACACACACACACACACACACACTTATTGCAATTCACACTTTTTACATTTGAAAAGGTCAACAAAATGGGTGGCACACTCTTTGTGAGTCCATCTTGGACAGAAGTCGCACTGTATCTATGAGGCAGAATGGAAAAAAATTAGTTATAAGTTCATGTTTAAAGCATTGGAAGTATAAAATTCTATGGCTGTGTTTTTACCATTTCAATGACGTCTTTGCATGTGTCATAGTGCAACATGTTGCATGAAACACAGTAGTCTTCCACCTTATCTGTAATATAAAGATAGACAAATGAGAATTTCTTTGAACACAATCAGACTAAATATAGCTAGGTAAATGTAGCAGGATGGTCTCACCCACACCTGATTTCAATGAATTGTCTAATTATCAGCAAAGGGTATTGTGTTTGCCCCTTGGCACATGCTCCTTCTTGCTGCCACTGCTTCCAGGTCACCCATGACTGTGCTGAGTCTTCATGTCTGTTTTCACTGACTACATGAAGGGCAAGTTGTTCATGCCTCTGGTAGGCTAGGGTTTTCCCCCCATTACCAGGGCTTCATGATTTAAAAGTGCCAAACTGTTCTGCTTCAACCCAACTGTCTAGCTTGAATTTTAACTAAAAAAATTGCTCGTTTTGAATAATGTGTAGTAATCGTGACACTTACCATGTCCTCATTTAACACATCCATATACCATACCTGTAATCCAATATTCTATTACATCTCAAAATGTATCCTTTGTGCATGCACAAACTAAGTCTTGTCTGCCATACACCATGTCCAAACATCTTAGCTTAATCCCAGAGGGTTAAAGAGACAATATTAAAAAATAAGAATGTGTAAATGACAGAAAATGTATGCTATATGTATTTTTCACCTTTGCATTGCAGCAGTTTTGTTGCAATGTCCATCCTGTCCTGGAACATTTGAGCAGGTGCAGTGCTAACAGACTGCAGATCTCCCACCTGCAAGAAGCTTTCTGCAAACTACACAAAAATTTTATCTTAAATTTCAAATCTTATTTACAAAAATTATTGCATTTGTATTCTTGGTACCCTCAAAATCAAGACCCCGCAACTGCTGGCATCGGGCTGCAGGCCATGCGGCAGAGTTTTGACCTTCCAGTTGCCCTGTCTGGCATCTTTGGCTCTCAAGAAATTCCTATGTAGTAGCATAAAAACTTGAATTAGTGACATTGTTAGCACAATAAAAGCAACTTAGGAACCGACTTATGGTGACCCGATTCACACTACCTCCAATTACGGAGAATTCTTCTTTGGTAAATCCTCTCATGGCCAAGGGGGTCAATCACAATAACCTCCTTGTGATCCATCCTGACAAGCTGTTCATTAAGTATGACATCTGTTACTTTTTAAAAGTATCCACATGAATATTGATTGATGTAGTTCTGGGAACAAAGATAACATACCACTAAAATCCAATGACCACCGACATTTACAGGGCACAACCAAATCGAGGCTTCTGGGAAGGCCATCTTTATAAATGACAAAAAACATTGTTAGTTTTGATTAATTTTTACTTAGACAGGAGTATAGCATAGCAAATACTTACCTTTCGAAAAACCCTGTGCTGCCCTAGATGAAATAAAGATGATCCAATTACTGCACCCATGCGGTATATTGGTATCTGAAATAAAACATAATTGTGTATGATTTAATCATTACAAAATGCAAATAATGGATATATATTTTATGAACAAAATATCTATACCTTGCCTTTTTCCACAATGAGGTGGAGATAAGCATCTAGGATCTTTTAAAAAAATAGCAGCTTTAAATTATTTTCTAGATCCACAGCATTGGAAAAATGTGTATTTCCAAGAGAAAGTAGTCTTACTTCATCTGACAGCCACCCATGTCCACATAGTGTACGAAAAGATGTATCATACAGTTTGTATGGACCAACCAGGGCTTCTATTTGGCCAGAGTCTTTCAAAGACCAAAGTTTAAGTACTGCAAAAAAAGGTAAATATATTATATATATATATTATATATACATACATATATACATATATATATATATATATATATATATATATATATATATATATATACATACATATATATATATATATATATACATATATATATATATATATATATATATATATATATATGTATATATATATATATATATATATACACACACACACACATTTTTTAGGAACAATGTGAATTTGTGCATACATGAGCAGTAGCAGGCAGTAAACAAACATGCAGTGAACGAACTTGCAAATAACTGACTAACCGGTCTGAACCAATGGCCAACAGGGCCAAAAACTTTTTTTGGTTTGCAGTACTACTGCACCTTGCCGCTGCAATGTTTTCTGGGACATCATGGGAGGGGGCGAAGGAGATGTCTTGAAAGGGAGTGAGGGCAGAGTCTTGGGACGGGGTGAGGGAGATGTGCAATGAGGGGGTGAGGGAGTTGTCTTGGGAGGGGGTGAAGGAACCCTCCAGGGAGAGAGCGAGGGAGACATGTTTGAAGGGGGTGAGGGTGATGTCTCAGGAGGGGGCGAGGGAGATATTATGTGAGGGTGTGAAGGAGACATCCTGGGAGGGGGCGAGGGAGACATCATGTGAGCGTGTGAGGGAGACATCCTGGGGGGGGCGAGGGAGATATTATGTGAGGGTGTGAGGGAGACATCCTGGGAGGGGGCGAGGGAGATATTATGTGAGGGTGTGAGGGAGACATCCTGGGGGGGGCGAGGGAGACATCATGTGAGGGTGTGAGGGAGACATCCTGGGAGGGGGCGAGGGAGACATCCAGGGAGAGAGCGAGGGAGACATGTTTGAAGGGGGTGAGGGTGATGTCTCAGGGGGGGCGAGGGAGATATTGTGTGAGGGTGTGAGGGAGACATCCTGGGAGGGGGCGAGGGAGACAACTTGGAAAAGGGAGGGATCACCTTGTCGGAGTCCTGATTTTGAGTTTTCCCCACCAGATGTGTTTTGCCCACGTACTTAATAACTGACTCCCTCTCTTGCTTCTCACTTGATTCAAGTTTTTGAATTTTTGTTGGTGGTTCATCTGGCCCAGCTTCCTTGTGTCCCACATTGCCTCTTTTGTAGGGCTTTATGTGAGTGATGCTGTGCTTTGTTTTCAAGTGTTTCCCTGTCATAGTTGTCAGCATAGCAGTCTTGCCCAAGAGTTGCTGGATTGTGTATGGGCCAGAATAGTCACACTCCATCCTGGCTCCTTTTCTACTTCTTTTTCTTACATTGTACAACAGCACCTCATCCCCTTCTTTGAATGTAAAATGTTTGTATTTTTTGTTTGCCCTATTTGCATATGCTTCCTTCATTTTCTGTTGAGCCACTTCCACATTTTCTTTTACCTTCTCATCTCGGTCCTTTTGTACTTTTTCTTACTCATTTACATATTCGCTGTATTCCGTTGGAAGGATAATAGATGACAGCTACATTGCAAAAACAGATCATGTTTTTGCAATACAAATGTTACACATTTAGACACTGTTATAAAAACATTACTGTTAAAAGATTCTATGTCTGAAAACGATTACAAGTATTTACAAAATCAGCATGTATATTAATATGTTAGTACAAAGGAAGATTCCAACATAACTCATGACAGGCAGACTCTTACCGGCATTTCAACAGGAAGTTCACATGGGAACCTTGCCTCTCTTCCATACATTAGGTAGAATGGTGAGAATTTTGTTGTGGTGTGCATTTTGGACCTCAGTGAAAACAAAGTGGCATCTAGATACAGATCCCAATCATCCTGCCTTTCATTAACAACTTTTCTGAGGGCCCTAGAAAAAAAGAGTTTCATGCTTCAATAAGAAATACTTGAATTTCAATACATCTTTGGAATATTTATTCTCATTTTCTAGTCACAAAGCCATAGATGAATGAATACATGCAAATTATTTTAACTCAGTGAAGTCTAAGACCTAACTTTACAAAGTACAAATACAGGACATGTTAAGCTGTGGCATGGTGGTGAAACAAAGGCCCGGGCGGTATTCGATCCCCAGTCTCCCGGGTGAGAGTCATGCGTGCTAACCAGTCAGCCAAAGGGAGATCCGTTTGGCTGACTGGTTAGCATGCATGACTCTCACCCGGGAGACTGGGGATCGAATACCGCCCGGGCCCTCGTTTCTCAACCTTGCTTCAAAGCAGTTGTCAAAAGAAGTTAAAACAAGACACTGCTGTAATTGTTTTCTCACCGTTTAATGTTGTCATTTGTTTTTTCATCCAATCCATTAGTCTGCGGGTGATATGCTGCTGTCACACTCCTCTCAATTGAAAGGAGCTCACATAGTTTGCTGTTGATCTAAAAAAAAACAATGAGGCACATTATAATTAGTTATTTTACAGATTTGACTTTTAGGCCAATTAAAAATTTATATTAAACATAACTTACTTGATTCACAAACTCTCGCCCTTGGTCTGTAAGAATGCGCAGAGGACAGCCATGCCGATAAAAAATCGTGCATACATTTTGGGAGACTTCCTCTGCAGACTTGGTTTTCAGAGGGAAAGCCTCCACCCACTTTGAAAAATAATCCGTGGCTGTCAATATGTACTTGTAGCCAGAAGGGGTCTGGGGAAGCGGACCTGTCAGATCCATTCCGACCAGCTCCCACACACCAGATACCTGTTGGTGATAGATTAAATGTTTATGAACAGAAGTAACATAGAAGTAATAAACTAACAGAATTACAATGGACAGTCACCTTGATGCAATCCAGTGTTTCGACTACCTTCAGTGGAGGTCCAACTCTTTGGCAATGGTCACATTCAGACAGCTAGAAAATGTATTTTGTTTTATGAAATTTATAAATATTGTATATTAGAGATTGCTAACAATGAGGTAACATACCCATTTCTCAATGTCTGCAGTCATACCATGCCAATAAAATTTCGAACACAATGATTTGCGAGTTTTCACAATGCCACTGTGTCCTCCCATTTTTGAAGAATGGATTTCCCTAAAGTTGGTCCAAGCCTCCTCTTTTGATTTAATGGCTTTTCGCCTAGGCAAGGGTCCAAAGAATAGACCCCCAGCTTTATTGAAAGAATTTACACATTAGTCACATGGCGTATTATCAGAAAATGTGATGTATGCTTAAATCTTAACAACTTACCATGAATGCTGAATTTAGAGGCATATTTCCTTAGGCTTTGCCTTTGTCCTTTGGTGTAGTGCAGCAGATAGGAACCCTTGGTAAGGAGATTAAATATCTCATCCCATCTGCCTTCCATTTTACTGTAAAAAATGAAAACAAGGAAGTAATTTGAAAATTAAAACTTCTGATTTAAAAAAATAATTATACAGTCAATTATGTTCATATACACTGAAAACAACCGCATGTTGAGGAAGTAAATTATTATAAATATGACGAGGCAGCATTCAAACAATTTTTTACTTCTAAAATGTTTCTTATCTCAAGACTGAAGACATTTATTTGCCATTTGCACACGGATCAACAGTCCCTGCACATTGGAATTCAGTGATGTATGTGCACATAGTCCATGGAAGGAAGTGTTATTCCTATGATCCTCTCTGCAGACTTTATGACTCTTTGTAGAGCTTTCCTCTCTGTCTGTGTGGTATTTCCATACTTATACCATTCTTATCTGTGTGCTTCCTTACAAAATTATGATTTACGGGTAGATACATAAAAGAAATATGGTTTTTAACATGTTTCACTTTAACAGAGACAAATCTTTTTATGTGTTGGTTTATATCTAGATATTTTTATGCTTCCTGGTTTGTAGTTTTAATCACATTCCTGCGTTTTTAAACAAGTAGCAAAATAGTTTAAGCAAGCAGAAATAAAGTATAAAAAACTCACTAACATAGTAGTCAGACATGTTATTTAATCATATTTCTAGTCAAAAACAAAACTTTTTCAGGAGGAACACGGAATTAGAAACATGTTCATATTATATGAATCTATTAAAATAGCCCCTTTCGTCTTTAAAATGCTGACTTTAATTTCCTCACGGACTGTATAATTGTTGGTCTTGTATTGTTTTTTTTTTACTTCTTGTTACTATTTATATGTTTCATAGCCGTTACATGACGTTCAGGCATCAAAGTTTAGTTGTTTCATCAGCGATTAAATTACGTGCAGAAATTGGCAGTCAAAAAAATGCACTGCACACTGAAAACTGTGACTAAAGTACAAAATATATCAAATAATGTGTTAACATTAAAGAATATAAATGAATTACTTACATTTTAGTCGTAGTTTCACTTTTTCGCCGATCTTTTCTAGTCCGTATGCTCATCTGACGCCTCTGTAGAACGTACCGGAGTTGTCGAGTAATGCGCATGCGCGCACATGCGCATTATCTGCAAGTATGCTCCTCTGACAGGTATGCTGTTCTGACACAACAGGCACCCCGGTATACCATCTGTAAAATCTGTCAGTGTGTTTGTGATTCTGAGAAGAAAACGCCGTTTGTTTCGGTTTACTTAGTTTATTTGCTAATTTCCGCTAAATGCATTATTTATTTTAACTCATCAAATACCAGGTGATTTTTAGTCTCGGCTTACAGCCACGACTAATACTTGTGCATACTTAGTAAATGATGTTTCCAGTGCTCTCAAACTAGAAGACCAATAAAAACAGACGAGTTTGATGTAATAGAAACAAGAAAAGAACACATAAAACAAACCAGAAAAGGGGAAAAGCATGGACCAGAATGAAAAAAGTCTGAAATTCTCTTGGGTTTGGGTGGTGTGCTAGCCTAGTGAACTAGACCAAATTCTTGCTTTGCAAAGAGTTGAGGGAGAAATCTTTACCAGCAAAGCCCTAACATTTTAATAGGAGCTGAACTGCATTGCCATAGCTTCTTAATAATTATTTAATCTATGCAGCTGCTGTTTCTACAAGATTGTTGTGATGTTTGCTTTTTGTATGACTACATCAAGTTTAAAGGAGACATATCATGAATGTTTCATGTTTAAGTGTGCAAAAAGCCTTATATTATTTACTAGAGGTCCTTTTTAGATATTTAATTATAAAGTTTTGGTCGTATTTGTTAACCAGTTCAGTTTTTTAAATTGTCTAATTCATCTTTTATCTATGTCGTTACAATAGCTGTATTTTTTATGCTTTGAGACTAAATCTGACATGTTCAAAATCATCTTGATCCATCAAAGTGTGTTCTTTGTACCAAAGTGTTATACATCAATGTCAAAAAGGCTAATCAGGTTTTGTTCCCATACAATTGTTGCAATTAAAGTAATTATTTTTCTTGTACTGATCACTGATCAGAGTTTCTGCTTACTAGAGAAAAATCAAGATGTCTGGAGAGTTGTCCCTCAGCATAAACATTAAGGAGCCAAGATGGGACCAAGCTACATTCATGGGACGTGCCAAACACTTCTTCATGGTCACAGATCCCAGGAATGTGCTGCTGTCCCCAGAGACACTGGAGGAAGCCAGAGTTATTGTGGAGAGCTACAGGTGAGATCAGGAGAGATGGAGGACCGAAGCATAAATATTCACCTGACTGTGTGATAATGTGACAAAGTGTAAAACACTGTCTCTGTTGATGTTTTCAGAGCTGGGACTGTAAAGCCTGGCTTGACAGAGGATGAGCTCTGGAGAGCCAAGTACATTTACGATTCTGCCTTTCATCCCGACACGGGGGAGAAGATGTTTGTGATTGGCCGGATGTCTGCTCAGGTGCCGATGAACATGTCCATCACAGGCTGCATGCTCACCTTTTACAGGTACAGAAGAGGGCTTTATGCACAAAACGACATTCAGAACTGCACGCTGACAAGTAATTTCATTAAAATAATCTATTTAATAAGTTAATGTGATACAGTTGTAATACAGCAATCTCTAAAATTAGAAAATATAATCCCTCTGTGGTGGAAATCGTCTCAAAGATGTTCTCAGGATTATTGAATACTGATAAGTCACTCATCAAACTTTTCTGATACAACAGGAGAAAAAATATTTCTAAAGTTTTACACAATTTAAAGAAAATGGGAGCTTGTGACATCCAACTGTACATCTCCTTTAAGCCCCATGAGATGTCTAAGCTGCAGCTGTTACACACCTGCTTAGACTCTATCAAAGCCTGGATGGCTGGGAGCTTTCTTCAGCTGACTGAAGATAAGACTGAGATCCTCATCTGTGCCCCAGACAAGCTGGTTCCCAAGGTCAGAGACTCTCTTGGTCAGCTTGCTTCCCACACCAAACCTTCCGTCAGGAATCTTGGCGTGACCTTTGACCCAGCTCTCACCCTGGATTCTCATGTCAGTTCTCTTGTTCGCTCTTCCTTCTTCCATCTCAGGAACATTGCTAAGCTGAGTCCCATTCTGTCCCGCTCTGAACTTGAGACAGTTGTCCACACCTTCATCTCCTCACGTTTAGACTACTGTAACTCTCTTTTCACGTGTCTGAGCAGAACCTCCCTGAACCATCTACAGGTGGTTCAGAATGCCTGTGCTCGGCTTCTGACCAAGTCCTCCAAACACACCCACATCACCCCGCTTCTCCTCCAGCTTCACTGGCTGCCAGTCAACTTCAGGGTTCATTTTAAGATCCTGGTTCTGGTCTATAGGGCCTTACATGGACAAGCACCATCTTACATTGGTGATCTTCTTAGTCCCCACACCCCCAGCAGGTCCCTGAGGTCCAGTGATCAAAGCCTACTGGTTGTGCAGCGCACCAGGCTAAAGACCAACGGTGACAGATCATTTGCTGCTGTGGCCCCCAGACTCTGGAACTCTCTCCCCCTGAGCCTGAGATCAGTGGACTCAGTGGACTCCTTTAAAAAGCAGCTGAAAACTCACTTGTTCAAGCTGGCTTTTGTTTGACCTTCTTCAACCACTCTCTCTTTATTCTGCTCTCCCCACCTATTCCACCTTCCTCAGGATCCACTGATTTCCCTCTTTCCTATTCACTCTCTCTTTCTTAACATTTTTTTTATCACAATTATCTATTTTTTGCTCATTTTAAATATATTTTTAACCATTTTCTAAATTCATTTTTATATTTTTACATTTTTTGTTTTTGTGATGCACCTCATGATTTTTTATCTTGAGAGGCGCTATAGAAAAGATACTTTCTTCTTCTTCTTCTAATATAAATATTTTTTATGTACATATTCCTTTAGTTTGCAGGAAAACGCAGCAAAAACACTTCTTAGCTGATTCTCACGACACAAAATACATATATGTGCATAAATAAATAAAGATATAAACTAGATTGGTACAATGTTAAACAGGATGACTGCTTACAACGGTAGTTTCTGCTTCAGCCCTCTCCCCCCTCCCCCTGCGCAGCGGCCACAAACTCACTGATGCGCCTGCAGCCTCTCAGAGTTGCTGCTGCTCTAAACATTAAAATAATTATTTCATTTTCTGTTCCTCACTTCTGATTACCTTCAATGGTGTCTGTTTGTTGCAACCACCAGGTACAAAAACTAACTTGTTTTTATTTGACAATTTTTCTGTCCTGTCTGTTTATTATCTTCCTGCATCTCCTCTCAATCCTAAAGAAAAACTGCTACCTGGGTTCATTTATATTCACCTTACCTTTGAACTGCAGTTCTAAAAGATCTACCGACCGCAAAAACAGCGGGGTGCGCGCTGCTCGCCGGCCGCATCAGTGAGGTCGTCACCGGAGGACAAAATAGGTGATGCGCGCCGCTCCACAGCAGCGAAAAGCATCAGGCACAAATAAAGACAGAAAACATAAAAGTAAATGAGCCGACATGAACGATCTTGTGTTAAATTCGTTTTTGAGGTGGCGACACCTAATTTGATAATGTTACTGTGGCCGTGCTCAAGACTCATATGTCTGGAGCGCGTCAACAATCAGAGCTTTGCATGCGCAAGCTGGTTAAGGTTAGGATGGGGGTGAGGGGAAGGTTAAATTGCAAGAGGGTAAAGGTCACAATTCGGTCAAATGTCCGTTTTACAGTGGGCGTCAGATACCGACGCTCTGGCACAGCCGTCGCCTCCTGAAGCGCAGGGGCTCATCACCTGCTGTCCTTTTTGAGGACTGCATCTTGTTGGTCATTATCACGTGACAGCGGCTAGTCTGTGAAAGTCATAAAAAGTCACTACAGAGCAGTGAAGTCGACTAGTTGATACAACCCCTAGTACAAATGTGTATGTACGAGTTATTTTTTTAAATCGGAACATGTCAGCGAACATTATATAACAATTATTAATTTTTCTAGCTTAGAATTATAGACCAACTATAGCAATAGAAAAAGATCTTGCTTTGGATGTATATTTACATGTGTAGGACCAGCTTGCCAGGCTGTTTTATTCTAGCCTGGCCTGTCAGACTCGTCCTCTGTTTAACTCTACACAGAGAACATAACGACTTCCCTTAAGGAAGCATGGGACTGGCTGGCCAGGCTGTTTTATTCCCCTCAATTTCCGCAGGAGCGTACTCTCTCTAATGACTGTCAGAACCTGCAGCATTATTACCGGCGCAGCTATGAAGTTAGCAAAATGCACGACTGAACGGTCCGGTGCGTCAACCATGCCATTCACTGTGTCCTCTCTTTTTCTTTGTCCTTTGGGTGCTATCTTTTTGTTTTTATCCACCAGCCACGTCCTACAGGCTACAGCTACACAAACATTAGCCCTTAGCTGTAGCTAGCAGCTCATCCAGATGCTAATGAGCTTCTGTTCTGAGTAAACAGTAATAAACACAGAGAGATTTCAAAATAAACTTGTTGTAAAATCACACTTCTATATTACTACAATATGTCAGAAGTAAATGTGTAGATGTAAAAGTAATAATTACCAAACAAACTTCAAGTTTCCGAGCGGCAGTTCCTTGTGGAGTCTTGAATCTGCTGCGGCTCTGCCCAGGAGCAGCCATTGTTGTGGACGCCGTCTCACCTCCTTGCTGTCCCTCTCGCTGTTGACTGCCTCTGCCGTGTACTGTTGCCACAGCGGTGGGCTTCAGCCTGACCTTATCCTTGCTTCTGAAACCCATCTTCACGAAAATGCACACCACACACTACGGAGCTAGAAGATACACTCCTTGCAATGAAATCTTGCCGTCCAACTTGAACAAACCCCACCCACACTCGAAATAGAAATCGATGAACTCGTGTCCAGACAGGAGTTGGAACAACCTCCACATAAATAAACTTTTGCCATTTTGACTGATTTCAATATTTTTGTGAGCCTTATGCTAATGCTGTGGTGATAGTGATAGGCCCAATCTCAATACTCGCACTTCCACCCTTGCGCACTTGAAATGTGTGATCCCGACTAGGGGTGCGAGTGCATAGGGTGTCCCGATTCTCAAGTGCAGCGATGCAGACTTGGGTTAAGGGTATTACCCACAAGTCATTGCTGCAGGAGAAAAGGCTCAAGTTCCTTTTCTGAAAATATGTATTTTCTAATGAAATTAGTTAAATTTTAGGACAATGATTTGATGCTCTAAACTGTTAGACAAAGCAGCAATAAATGTAAATTTATTTCAAATAACTGTTTGGCTGTTTGTTTAAAATCAATACCACAAGCATATAGATAGATAGATTGGCTGAACACAACTATGCTACTCGAACAGGTAACACTAACTACCCAATGGCGCAACACTTCATGGAACATCACAATAGTGACCTGTCCACTTTACCGGCTTGTGGTATTGATCATGTCCCACGGTCTTTGAGACATGGGGAGAGGCAGACAGCTAAATCAGAAGGAGACTTTTTGGATTGTAGCCTTTGTATTCAAAGATCTATCAGGTTGAGATTCTATATTCATATAGAATCATCACATCTTCTTGATCATAATTTAACCCCCAATCTCATTATTAACCCTACAGGATATTTAAACTGCAGGCTACTTAACATCCAGGCATTAATGATGACCTAGACTTTAGAGTTTTTCTTTGATTGGTTTAGTCTGTTTGAAGTTTTGGCTTTATTCTTGTCCCTTTTGCTCTTGATATTATCATTTTACTTCTATTGGGTGCATTTTAACCATTTGTATATAATGTATGATATTTGGTGTATTTTATTTACTGTCTGTTTCTTTCAATTTAGTAAGACTGACACCTGCTGGTGATTGTTGACACTTGTCACCTGTCTAACGTCTGCTAAGTGGAGCTTTCTGATTGGTGTTTGTATTGGTTCAGAACCTCTCCTTACTGCTGAGAACTGTTCGACTCCCTGACGAAGGCTAAATTCGCCGAAACGCGTTGGAGTTTTTAACGGCCATATGTGACCCAGCCATTACAGTAAAGGCTTTTGAACATTTTCTATTTGAGAGTACCTTGGAGTGTCTCTTGTTTTTTTCGACTGAAAAATGTGATCAACTTTATTTTTTCACCAAATAGAAAGATGTTTATGATTAAAAAAAACTAAAAGATGAACTTTAATATCAAAATTCTGAGGGAAAAAACTCAGAAACCTGAGATTAAAGTTAGAGTTCTCTTCCTTTTCTTTCTTTTTTTTTTTTTTTTGCTTGTTCAGTGGCCCTAATCATCTTCCATACTTTTCTGACTCCCTTGTTTTATTGTTTTTGTTAATTTAATCTTATTTTTAAAATTGTATTTAAAAGTTTTTTTGTGCTTATGAAGCACCGTGTGATTTTTATCTCGAAAGTACAACAAACCCTTTCTTTTACTTAGAAGGAAATATAAGGATTTATATCTCATTTGTGTAAAACAAAATTATTTATGTTTGACAGTCCATCCATTCATCCATTGTCTTAACCCGCTTGTCCATGTAGGGTCGCGGGGGGGCTGGTGCCTATCTCCAGCGGTCAACGGGCAATCAGGCGGGCTACACCCTGGACAGAGAGCCGGTCCATCGCAGGGCAACACAGAGACACACAGGACAAACAATCATGCACACACACACACACTCATACCTTAGGACAATTTGGACAGACCAATCAACCTAACAGTCGTGTTTTTGGACTGTGGGAGGAAGCCGGAGTACCCGGAGAGAACCCACGCATGCACAGGGAGAACATGCCAACTCCATGCAGAAAGATCCCAGGCTGAGAAGCGAACCCAGGACCTTCTTGCTGCAAGGCAACAGCTCTAACCACTGTGCCGCTGCACAGCCCTATTTTTGACAATTTAATGTAAAATTGTTAAATGCCCTGTTTTCTACTGCAACTCACCCTTTAGTTTTGTCTTCAAGTGAAAATGCAACTTAGTGCAAAATCCCTGGAATGAGTCAACACCTCTAAAACGTTACCAGGCTGTGAATCTTTCTGATATCATGTTTTGTTTTTCAGTAAAATACCAACTTGTGAAGTCTAACTACCTAGCATCTTGAGCATCTAAACTAATGTAAACACCCTGAAACATTATGCATATTAAAGAGAGTATGTATATCTTTTATTTGTATGCTGCTGTGACCGTATTTACTCTGTGCATAAATCATTTTAGCTACTCTGTAACACATGCCAAAAGAAAAGAAGTGTGAAATGTCACTTCCTCTAAGGTGTTGCTGTTGTGTTTGCAGGACCACTCCAGCTGTCGTCTTCTGGCAGTGGGTCAATCAGTCCTTCAACGCCGTGGTCAATTACACTAACCGCAGTGGAGATGCTCCCATCACCGTGAAGTAGGCAGAACTTCTCAGTTCTACTCCAGATCACCCATGCCCTCCCTTAGCTAGTTAAGGCGCCAGTGGGAGCTGATCTCATTACTATTTGGCGTGCTTAGCCTTGTGTCATGTTGACCTCACACTCCCCTCAGGTCAACATGCATCTGAGCACTAGCTTCATTGTGTGAAAAAATGTTGGTGGTGCATTTTTTTGCTGCGCAAATGCAATTATTATATCCAGATATGAAGCACAAATTTATGGGTGAAACATAAAGTTCAACAGAAATGCTTTAATTATTTGTCATTTAGCATTTTTTGTGGTAAACTCGAAAAAGGAAGTTGGCTATTTTAGGATATTTCTCACCTTTTTTTAATGTGTTTGCAGCCAGCTGGGCGCAGCCTACGTCAGTGCTACGACAGGAGCTGTAGTCACTGCCTTGGGACTCAAGTCTTTAGCTTCGGTAACGCAACAAATCACCTGAACAGTGATTATGGGGTGTTATGGCAGTTAAATTAGTGTGCATATTTCTTCGTTTTTGTCTTTTCTTGCAGCGTCTTCCTCCAATTGTCAGCCGTTTTGTTCCCTTTGCTGCTGTTGCTGCTGCTAACTGCATCAACATCCCCTTTATGAGGCAGAGGTGAGGCCAGTAAACCCAGCATTTCCTCTACATTTAAGAGATTTTATGGATTATCTCAGATTATTTACATAGTTTTCTTTTGTTTTTCTTTATACCAGGGAGTTAAAATATGGAATCCCTGTGACGGATGAGAATGGAAACAGGTTAGGAGAGTCTGTCAGTGCTGCCCAACAGGCCATTGTTCAGGTGGTGGTGTCAAGGATTGGCATGGCAGTGCCTGCAATGGGTAACGCCTGTCTTCATTCATTCATTCATTCATTCATTCATTCATAAATACGGTAGTATGCAGTTGACATGACATAAAGAGATTTTCACTTCCCCGGGTACCGCTAAAGGAGAAGTTGATTCAAGTTGTCAAGCTATGGCAAATTTGGACCAATGCAGTGACTGCTGCTGCTGCAGGGTTGGAGCGGGTGAAGAAGGAAGTACTTGTAAAGAAGACGGGGTGACGTTGGTTCTGTGGACCTGGTTTAAGTTGAAGGAGGAGGATGTTGACCAGATAAACATCTTCTGCAAATTATGTCAGGCGACACAAAAGTCTTTATTGTGTCAATAGCTTAACACCGATTCCCTTTAGGCAAGGCAGCTTTATTTATTTAGCACATTTCATTTCTACTGGCTGACTGTTTCCTAAAGATCTCAGAGCCCTGCTGGGCGTATAACAGGAAGGAGATCCACTGAGTGATTTATAAACTAGTAGACGCACTATGAAGTTGAGTCTGTTCACTGGTGACCAGTGTAGAGATTCAAGAACAGGAGTGATGTGCTCGGTTCTCTTGGTTCTTTTTAAGACTCTAGCAGCAGCATTCTGAACGAGCTGCAGTTGCTTCACAGCTTTTTGGAGAGACCAGTCAAAAGACCATTGCAATTTAATGCCTTTTTTTTATGCACAGGCCTCCAAACGTTTTGGATCTCTCCTGTTGTATAGTTAGAAAAAACACACCAAAAGCATCACTTCAGTTCAAAACAACTCATAATTTTGTGTTTTCATCAAATTTACCTTGTACTTTATTTAAAATCTCTTCCTCTTTATCTTTTGTGTTGCTTTGTTTGGAAAAAGAATCAACATAAAAAGGACTTTTTGTATTTTTAAAATATGTTTTGCATATTAAACGTTCTTTAAATGGCATTCTACTCTATTCTGCACCAATGTAACTGCTTTGTGAGAAAGTTGAGTCATTTTGACATATAAACCAAATAAAAGGGGGATATATCGCGTTAACCCACGTGCTTCAGATTATGTGTCGATACAGATTCAAGGCCATAGCACCTTTCATTTTACTGTTGTTTATAAAGCTGACGACCTCTGACCCGTTTTCTATTTCACAGCCATTCCTCCTGTTATAATGAATGCTCTGGAGAAAAAAGCTTTCATGAAGGTAAACCTGTTGCACTCTTATTTATTTAAACGATGACACATGTAGACAAAAACAAGTTCATAATAATCTTTTCTTAATTTCTAGCGATTCCCAGTCCTAAATGCTCCCATCCAAGTTGGGTTAGTCGGTCTGTGGTGAGCAAAATTCACTTTTTATCTTGAAAATGATTCTTTGGAGAGCTACATTTGTTTGTTGTTGAAAAGCACAAATAAAATATGCTGTTCTGTTTTCATTGTAGCCTGGTGTTTGCAACTCCTCTGTGCTGCGCCCTGTTCCCCCAGAAAAGGTTGCTTTTTTAATAATAACTTAATATAATAACTTATATTTTACTTGAATAATTGTTTATCACACATCATTATAATAACTGAATGTTTGTTTGGTTTGTAGCTCGATGAGTGTGAGCAGGCTGGAAGCAGATCTGCAGGAGAAAATACGAGAGACGAGTCCTCACACCACCACCGTTTACTTCAATAAGGGCCTGTAGGCACAGCCAGCACAGCACAGGAACACACACACACACACACACACACACACGTACGTACGTTATGGGCACGAGGGAGGAAAAGACAAATTTAAGATGGTATTCTTTGGTTGTGAGTCTTGCTGTTTGTTGTTTCTTCTACATCTAACCACTTTGAGCCGCTCCAGGCCAAACATTGAAGGTTTTGTTCATTTAAAACAAAAATCTAAATGAAAACCAATGACTTATATTTTTGTGCACAAGCCTCTATGGAAGGAAAATGTTTGATTTGTTTTTAATTTGATGTGCTTCGGGTTGTTTTTGTCTTCCACTGGTTGCAACAGCATCTAATAATTGATCGCTGATGCTTCGTGTTGTGGTCAGGCCGGCGTCCTGATAAATTATTCCAGTTTCAAATGAAGATTGTGCTTGTAAGTCGTGTTTGTACTTCTGAATGTAAATCTTTTTGGTTTTTGGTCCTTTGCACTTTTTAAAACCTTTCCTTAGTCACGTTATTATTTTTGGAAACATTCACACCACCTTAACAAGGTAAAACTGCTGCCTTCCTCACTTTTCACAAAATTACCATAAAATTCATGTGAAGTTTCTCCATATAGTCACTCTGCCTTTTGTTGACCTGTGTTGACCCTCAGCTCTCCTTTAAGTGTACTTATGTCCCTCTGTATTTTATTTAGGCAAGGTAACGTGGTGCTAGTTACATGTTGGAATGACAATATTTATAAAATATATCAAGCTCAGCCATGTGAGTGAAATCTTGAGTGTAGTTTATATCTAATGAGGACGTTTAGTGGCAGCTTGTTTTTAAATCAGGCTTCTTGTTCTGTGGTTGAATTATCTGCTTGTTGCAATGAGGAAGTGGATAAAACAGATATTATCTTATCTAAACTTCCCCTCCTGCTAGTGTAGCTAGATAGCGCTGTGCTGTTGTCAGTTTAAACTCAAAATACCACAAGAGATTGATTTTAATGTCATGTTTGTTATAGTAGGAGGTTTTTCCTGGACCTGTATTAGATGTATAATTATACAAATTAGTGGGTCTACTAGATGGCCCCACGTTTGCACTAGAATACAAAGTCAGCTGCTCGGTAACAGAACTATTGATCGGCGTGCTTCTTGTACTGAAGGTGGTCGGTTTAGAGAGGCTTTCCTCTTTTTGGAGCAAACTTAGAGGAATTACCAGCTCTAGTTCAGCATCTGTGCAATGGGATGTTTTACTTCTGCCTGTTTAAAAAAATATATAAATGTGCGAGTACAGTAAGAGCCAAACAGGCTGTGTTTTGTGACATTTGTGTGACTACCCATTTAAACTGATGGTAGCGGCTGCTCTATAAATGTTTTTGACATAAATTGGTTTGTGTCAATCTGAAATGTTGTGTTTTCATGTAAGATTCAAAAGTCATCAGAATGTACGCAAATATTTATAATTTTCAGACAAGAAAATCCTCCAGATCTTTTCTCCATTATTACTCCTTTCTTAGTTTAAATAACTGATTCTTATCATCTTACGTTTGTGCAGCAGCTACCCTTTAACTCCACTACCTTTACATGCTTGAATATCTAACCATGCACTGCAGGCTTTGCTGCTTTTTCCAATGTTTGACACTAATCAGAAACAGAATGCAGTGATTGGTGATTGTTTTGGTGAGCATCGTGGCGCTGTTGCGTTTGGGGATTTTCTTGTCTTTGCCGAGTGTGAAACTGGACTCTTACTATGAGAACTGCCTGATTTGTGTTGCTAAAACGAGCATTTTAACATTTTGAATGTCTTTGTTTTATTGTGTTGAATGAATTGTGGTGGTGAGGTTAAATTATTTCATGGCCTGCCATATTTTAACAGGTCAGAACCAAGAAGATGTCGACTTATTTTTTGTGGAAGTGTCTAGAACAAACTGCAGTTGATTTTATGAACGTCGTCTCAGCTGGTGACTGTAATTGTTGGTGCCACCATAGATCTAGCCAAAGATAAGATGGGTAGTAAAGCAGAAACCTGGAGTTTTCACTCTTTCAGGAATGTGATTTTTTTGAAATCCATAAAAGTCACAGTCTTACTCTATACTGTGGTATAAAGTAGGCAATACGTTTTTTAAAAAGTTGCTGCTAAGCCCTCCCCAGTCCCATAGAGCCTCATACAATTTGAATGAGCTGTGCTCAGCATTAGCCGACAGTGTTAGTGCGCTGCTTATGTACAGATGTTAATCACAGAGTGTGTTCGGGCGTCTGCGGCCATGCCTAGACTGATGCAAGGTTGGCGACCTTTCATATGGACCATTAACTCTACAGTGGCAAGTTTGGTAAACAAATGAGCTTAAAACCTTTTTCATGCCATAAATACATTGTGGAGATAAAAAATAAGTGGTTCTCTCGCATGTCTAAAAACCTCAGCCAATAACATGTTTTGGACCGAAAGCAGCATAAGCGTCTCAGGGAAGATACATGAGGGGAGGGGTGAGTGGTCCGTGACAGTGTTTGTGTTCAAAACCTAGCTTGTTCTGTAAATTAGCCAAAGCAGCTTTAAGCCTTTAAAACATATTTATATTAATACACAGCACAGTGAGAATAATGATAAAACAATATTTTTCTGCTCTGTTGCCCAGCTAGCACATTTGCAAACGAGAGGCTTTGCTTCAAGCTTCATCACAGAAGTAGGGGGAGTGGCTTTAGGGTGCAATACATATTTCTGCCTCTAGGTGGTGCCCTCAAAGAAAACTAGATTTCTGCTTTAAGGAGTGGGTGTTTGTCTCCTAAGCCCATTTTGTTTCAGCTTTATTTTATCGACCTTTAACATGACTTATTTGGCTATTTTTGTTTTATTCTACACAAAACATTTGAAATCGCAAAGGCAGGAAGGGATGAGACTGACCATGTTTTAGCTGTTATCTACGTTTATCATCACAACTGAAAAACCCTGACTTTCACCTCTGTTGTGCATGCTTTGAGACCGGAAGGCACAAATGTATAGACAATCTTCTTGTCACACCCCATGAATGTTTTGGATTATTTGTGTTCATTCGGGTAGACCCGTCAGTATTGGTGCAGTGTTCTCGCCTCCTGTTTCTATTGTTTTAAATCCACTTTGATGTATTTTGCTGAGAGCAATAAAATCAAATCTGAAACAATGTTGAATTCTGGCTGATTGATGCTCTTAAAAACTAAAATGAATGTTTTACTCAACTAAAGGTGCAGGTGATGTAAACAAATCGGCCTCTGAAAAGTACTAAATGCTGATTTGTTACATTTCCATAATATTGGGCATAAACAATTTATGAAATTTACAAACTGACGGGGGGAAAAAATCATCCACATTTTCCCCAAAACCAGCAGGTATCATCTCAGTTGTGCAGCTTTTTTCCAAAAAGCAAAATCTTTTTAAAGAAACCCCCACACCCAGGTTCTGATATGATCGGGGGGGGTTGAGTCGTCTTTTTCCCCAATTTAAAATCAACACAGACACCAGATATTTAGTGGTAACGCATTTTTATGTGTCAGCAACATCTCACCCACACAAGTGCACAGCAAAACCGCCTCAAACACCACAAACGCTCCTCTGCAACCAGTGTGTGTGTGTGGGCATCAAACTCGCTCCTCTCCACAGAGTTTAGAGTCAAGTTGTCATTATTACACACACTCTTCAGTCTTCCATGTCAGAGGGCATTCACGTATCCGACCAGGAGAAGCAAATTAAGCTTTTCATGTGCTGATTGTTTTAAAGCCTTTGAGACGGATAAAATATATTCACACTTAATGTCCCGCCTTCAGGCGACGTGTTTCAAGTTTAACGAAACCTGACGTACCAAAAATGCCGCTTCCACTTCCTTTCCTTCAAAGCCTATGACATCGTTTCAGAGAGTTTGTGGAAGTAAAAAGAAATAAACTGAATATCAAACACTGGTTTTCCTGCATTTTACAACAAACTACCGTGCAAAACCCGAAGGTGTTTTGAGATATGTAAACAGTGACCGACTCAACATGTCAAGTTCTATTTGTTCATTTGAACTTTGATCTTAACCAGTGTACCTGCTTTTATTTATCCCTACAAAACTACTTCAGTGGAACAATCTTCTTTGCTGCCTGGAGGACGTCCGCTATCTCCACTTTATTACCAAACTCCTTCTCCTGGTGCTCCAGGAGGATTCCCTGCAAAACACAGCATGCCCTTCAAATGCAGACATGTTTTATTACACAGGCAGGTCAAACCCATGTGTGACAGACTACCTGATCTCCTGCTCCGATGACGAACACGCCTCCTAGAATGAAGCCTTCTCCGTTCATGTTGCCCTGGTAACCTGCTCGCCAGGCCCGTATGAAGTTTTGCCAAACTCCAAAGCGAAATAATCCCAAACCCGCCATTCTTCTCTGCAGGGGGCCATAGAAATGTTTCTGCAAGTAGGATCAGAAATGTTTCAGGAAGTTAAATCTTTAAACAAGTTTGTATCAAAGCTGTTTTAACCGAGACTGCAGAATGGTTCATTAATCAAATCTGTTTCATCTCCGATAGAGAAAATAAATTAAGATTGACAATTTTATAAAATTTTTAGGTAATAATTATTTGATAGTGCCACAATTTAAAGGGATATTTCAGATTGTACGCAGTAGACTGCCACCAACTCACTTAGAGGGTCTAAGAGTAAACTTTTAACCAAAACCTCACACTGGCTTCAGTGAATGTTTTACTATAACCCATTACACCGTGCAACTCTTGCATTAACGTCTGGATGCTATCGCGTGGATCAGTCTGCGGTCGTTGCAACACAGCAGCATGTAAAACGAGTTATGTTAAGAGGTTTAACTGTTGCAAAACGCTGGGGAAAAAAAAGCATAACACACATGAAACAGTTAGCTGAATCCTTGTTGAATGCTACCGGTGTGGATTTTGATCTGTGGTGTGATTTTTCGCGTATCCGTGTGACATAGACGCTAGCGCGAGTCTTTGGAAGATGGTACGGATTTGTTTGACGATGTCTTAGAAGTTGATGAAACGTTCACGCATGAACGGTTGTCAAACTTTATGGGTTTGACTTTGGTTAAGTGGTGGAAATTTTTGCCTTTTGGAAAAGTTTTATCAACATTTTAATCATTTAACAAACTGAATTACCAAAGAAAGTACTCATGAGGAACGAAAGCATCAATACCAGGAAATGAGACGTGAATCATCAGTGGTTAGTAGATTAATATTGTGGTCAGGTACTGGCAGCTTGGGGTGTCAAATGCACCGAAAAGTCCATCTCTGATCCGCTTTCCTAAGTAAACTAGTAATAGGCATGTTTCCATTGTCAGAACATCAGGATAGATTCTGGGAGAGGGAAACCGAGTGGGAGATAAGATGGCCCGGTCCTCTCAGCTGCTCAGCCCCTTCAGGATTTTGCGCAGACATCGGCATATCGCGATTGCTTTGGCAGTGAGCGATGACACTGATCAGCGCTACAAAAAGTTTCCACAATAACATTAAAAGCTTTATTCCGTTTAATCCAGAGAACGAGAGCAGCTGCGTGATGTTCACTGACCGGAAAAAGCTCCGATTTTTTGCGGTACTCTGTGAGACAACAAAGCCCAGTTAATTACGTTGTTGTGGGGGAATTCTGCCGTGTTTTACTGTGTTGGGAGTTTAGAAACGGTAATTTTAAAGCAGCATACTCTGCCAGTTGTTTTGGACAGCGTCTGCTGATGTCATTTCCTACTGAGTTACTACCAGTCAGCATGTGTTAACCAAAAGTTCTACTCAACAACTCCACCGGGCCATCACGACCACCTAACCCCGGAAACGGCCCATTTGGCCGGCCCGTTAAAGTGGAGACATGCACGTGCTGAGAAGTTCTGGAGAATTCACCCTGAAGTTTCGACAGTGGAAACACATTTAATGTTGTTACAGCTACCGAGAAATAATTCACTCTCAGGCACCCCAACCTTGCCCCTGACAGATGACAGAGCTTAAGTACAGGAAGAAACACCTCAAACATGAAAGCACATTCAGACATTCACAACATGGGGGTGGGTGGAGGGGTTCGGGGATCTCCCATGCAACAGGGTGAGTTAAGCTTGGTTTATGCTTGACGCATTCACTTTCCGCTTGGTGATGCGGCTCGCGGATGGAACGCGCTTCACAACTCGCACCGTTTATGGTTCATGCAGCTCGTCTCTGCGGTGAGCCAATATTCTCCCAAACTGAACGGGGCAGCATGGAGCTCTACAGCATGCATCCAACACTACACCATAGTAGAAGTAGAAATTACTGTTTACAACATGGCATTCCAGCATTTTTTAACAGCGTCCTCGTCTTTTCCGACAGTGCGAGCTATTTCTCTCCAAGAATTATTAACAGCATGTTGATCACGGTGATCTCTGAGAGCTGAATCATACAAATGTCTGTATTTACGAACCTCTGCCATACTAGTTCTTGCCGGTCCGCCATGTTTTTCCGCGTCCGACCGTCCGCGTGGTTAGAAAATTTACTAGGTGCGCGGTGCGGAAAGTTTGGGTGCGGTGGAGGGGCGTGGTTGTTAAAATGACGCAATTTCGCCACGCGGAGCCGTGCGGACCTCGCGGACGCGCCAAGCATAAACCAAGCTTTAGCATCTAACAAGCGCAGCCTTCAACCCCACTAAGTGGGAAGGAGGAATGTGGGGAGAACGTTGAAGCCATGGAAGGGTGTGTAGGTGTCTGAGATTGTGTTTAACAATGCTAACAACGCTAGCCCAAATGCCATGGTTGGACGAGAGCAAAACAACAAAGGTGAATGTTGGACCACCACTCAAATTCCAGGATGTACTGGGAATATCCAGACTTTGAGTGAGTGCCAGATAGATCCATAGATTTCCTATCGAGTTATCTGGATACTACAAACAGTTGTAGAGTTTCTAGCTTCAGACAGCCATCAGGGTAAACCAGACAATCGTCATTAAGCTCTTTTGATATTCATGTCCTGGCCATGTGGGTGGGGCAAACCTGTCTTTCCATTGTAATGCTTCCATTGTATTCCTTTATCAGGAATCCAGGGTTATTGAGCCCCAACATAGGCTCAAAGAACAATTTCCTATTGTAAAAGAAATGTTCCAGGACCCCTTTAAAAGATAAAATCAAATTTCACACTTAAAATAGAAAATTAAAATGAACACTTGAAATGTTTACCTTTTCATCGATGTAGATGTCCCCAGCAAAGTGTGGTCTGAAGCCCTGGATCTCTCCGTCTATGTTCTCCTTCACCACGGCAACCAGAGGGACCCCAAGCTCCGTCAGCTGGGGCTTCAGAGAGGACAGCTCAGAGGCCTCCTGGAAGGAGATCATAAAGTTGTCAGGGGAGTTTTCACATACCCACAAAGTTAAAATAACCTTTGTGTTCACAAATTACCTCTCTGCACAAAAATCATCCAGGTCGCCGCACAGCCATGACCACCGCCCCGTTCTTCTCCCACAGGCTCTTCGCCTTGATGACCTGCTCATCTAGACAAGAACAGACAGTTTGTATGGATAACTGGCTTATAAATGGGTTACGGGACTTCATTAAACCGGATCTGAGCGAAGCCTACCATCTATGGTGGAACGCAGATCAGCATCTTGGAGGTATTCCATGGACGCCTTGGAACCTTTTGCAAGATACAGATCAGTGTTTGCCAGAAAGATCCCAGCTAGCGCAGCTCCAACAGCGCCCAAACCCACCGACCATATCCCCATTCCAAACAGCTCCTCCTCCAGTCCGGACCAGTACTCCCACACTACAACAAAATAATGTAAAACATGAGAAAAAAACACCTCTTGCTTAAATATGAGTCAAATAAAACATTATTTCCTAGCCCTTGGTCCCTCAACAGTCTCCTGACATAGTTTACCATTCTTTCCCTTTCTATCAGATTTTAAAGGCTCTGAGGCTCACTAACCAACACGACTTCTTTCTTTTGTGTTCCTGTCAGCAACACCCCCTCATGTTACTCTGGACCTCATTTGAGATTATTTCTGCAGCGTATCTGAAAGCTGCTTAGAGCAAAAGAACAGGAATTTACTTTCACCTCTTTACTAATTTTTGCCTCATTTTATTTGTTTTAATTTATGTAATTACTGTTTATTTTATGAGATAATAAGTACATAAAAGTTCCAGAGACATAATTTGTTTATGTTTTTGAATAGCCCTATTATAAATCAACAATTTGCGGCACAAAAAACTACCTCGACATAAAAACACTAATTTCTTCTCAAATTAAAATGACACCATTTTAAAATTGTAATCGCTACTAAACAAAATAATGTCCATGTAGTTTTTGACAGAAAACGGCTGACTGTGGCCTCCTTGCCTGGAGTGACCTCGTTTGGATCAGGACTTGCTTTGGCTTTACTCTGGTGAATCAGAGCGACCGGGGCTGTTAGATAGTGATGTCTGGTTGTGGTAGAGGGCCGGCTGCTCGTGGCAGAGCTCCCCAGAGGAAACGCAGAGCAACGCAGGGGAAGCGTCCACCTCAGAGCAGTCCTGCATCCCAACAGAGCCAGCATCAGGAGCTGTGGTAAAAGTCTGAGCTTCTCACTACAAACGCCCACAATATTTCACTGGAAGACACAAAACATACGGTTCTTCTAAGCAGGTCAAACTGCTGCATCATGCTACAAACTGCTGAAATACTGATAATGTGTGGACATATTAGTAAAAAAATCGATTAAGAAAGTTTAGAGAAGTGACACAAATTAAGGAATTTTTTTCTTCAACTTGGCTAACTCACAGGAAGTAGAACAAACAGAACCTTTATCTTGACGATCTGAGTGTGAAGAAGATTTCAAGTGTGGGTAAATGAGTCATCGCTTAACTTTAAATTAAACAAACGCGCAGACTTAAAACAGAACCAATCCAAGTTCTATTCAGATTTTAAAATGTCAAAATACTAACTTGTCTCTGTTGCCAAAGCCCAAATATATCCTCTTTCCTGCGGTTCAGCTCATGTGCTCTGAAACCATGAATAGCTCTGACGCGTTTGAGTCACTGGGCTTTATAACTTGCATGACAAAGCATTAAAAAAAACAGCACACAAGCAGCAGCCAATAGGGACGCTTTTAAAATGAGGAAGAACTTGCAGAAAATGAAGAACCTTAACAGTTAAATTGTGCTACATTAGATTGTTAAATACAAAAATTTATCTTTTTGTGTAAAATGCATCAGTTTTAAAACAAATGCAAAGAATAACGTGCTGGAGGTATTTAAGGTTGCAGGTTTAAGGTATTTTATGTGCTTGTGTATACCGTTTTATTAGAATTATACACTAACTTTAACTTTATCTTTGTTAAATTATCAATTACATCACACAGCTGCACAATGGTGACTGAATATGCTAGAGTACATATTTAGGTGAAATAAAAATAAACAAAACAAGTTAAAATATCTGTTTAGGAAGTGCATGTCAAAATTTAGGAAGAAAAACTACATTTATATTTCATATTTAAAACTTCCCTGTTTATTATTGCTAAAGATACCATTGTTTTATCTCCACAGTAACTGCAAAGAACTGTGATTTTGTTTTACTACTAGTATTAACTACAGAATGGTTTTCAAAAATAAAATAGAAAATAAATTATACAGTTATCTAAGTTATTCGTATTTCTTAGTATCTAAGCGTACATAAAAATCTCCCACACCTGCTTGATTCATTAAGGGTTTTTCAGCAGCTGTTTGTCTTTCATTACTTTCAAATATGTCCACTTCTTACGTAACTCCTTAACGAGCAGTAATGCAATTTAAACAGTCTTTGACCTGGATACACGCATTGCGTAACTCCGCTAACGTTGCGACCTTTTAAATGCATATAAATGCTTAAAGTGACAAATATGATGAACGTCAATACTTTCAGCAGACGGTGTCCTACATAAATTTGTCATCGGTGTAAATGAAGCGAGTTAAATAGCGTCGATTTAAAAAAACACTTAGCATTTAGTTCCGTTACTTTATGCTAAAATGAATCAGCAGTCATGACCTACCGTATTTACTTCAACACTGTTACTGGAAATTAAACGTGACGAGAAAGTTAGCTCATGAAATTTCACTCACCGAATTTCAACGAGGTGACGAGAGTCCTCTCCGACCTGACGTTCGGGATTCCGGCGCAGGCGGACTAATCGACCATGAGAGCAGGACAACTAATCAAACAACAAGGCTGAAAAATGTTCTATGTTTTGACCATGGTTTTCACTTTACTTTGTATTTCTTTGTTGACATTTGTGTCACTGCACCTAAATGTTGTCTCATAGTTGCGTCGTAAATGTGTTGCATCACTGAAAACATTTTACCAGTCTTGAAGTATTTATTTAAAAATAAAATTTTGAATATTGTTGTCATCTTTGTCAGTTTGACTTTGAATTTGTTTGGTTACTTTTCAGTAATCAGAAGCTTCTTTGTTGTTATAACTTTTTTAAATGTTTGCATTTTATGTCATTCTGATTTGTATACCCTTTGTTAGAATTTATTTAATTTTGTTGTTTCATATCTTTTTTTAAATTAGGTTGTAAGTCTTTACTGCATGTATTAAACTGTTTTTCAGGTAAACTTCACAGGGGAAACTTATTCATCAAACCTCATAAAGGTTAGTCGATCCACTCCTGTGCAAATGTGACCTCAGACATTATGTCAGCATGACAAATGCTTTGATTTAATTCCAAAAGATCGAATGCAGCTGCACTTGACCACTTCATTGCTTATTCTCCAACATGCCCAGCCCAATTTATTGAATTATAGGTGTTTGATTTGTGTGTTACATCAGAACTGTTCTCTCGGCACTTTGCAAACAAATCATGAAAACACACAAAAAACTTTAGACTCAGTAACAGATATTCAGAATGAAGGGTTAAAAACAGAGAAAGCAGCATATCTCAATCATATTTTGAGATCAGTCTTGTGGCGTGAAATGAGGATTATGTCAAGCTGGTACCAGGATCTGTATGTTGCACAAAAGATTGCACATCAGCAATGCTGCTTCTTAGCAGAAACATCAATCATGCAGAGATATTTGCAGCAACATTCATAAATTAAAAGCATCTCATTTCATTTGTAATCACCAAACTAAGCTAAGTTGTTTAACATCAGTTTCTTGTTTTAATTTTTCTTGGTTTAAAATGTTGAGGAGATTTAGTTAAGATATTTTTTAACCACGAGCCAAAGCAGAGGGGAGCCTAAGTTCAGACTTTAACCGAGACTGACCCCTGCAGGAGATTTTAACCGATATCTGCAAATAAAAGTCAACTTCTCTGTTGCATTCCATTATAGTAAGTTAGGAAAAATTATGAACATTTATTTGAAACTGTTGGTCTTAAAACCTGCATCTCAAGGAAGCATATTTGAAGAGAGAATTTATTGTTTAGGTTCCACTACTTTAAGGAAGTTTGGTATATTTTAATTTTGATTAATATCACCCACCTCTTCTTAACCCTCTCAGGCTCAAAATAAGTTTTGATAAAATGACCAACAACTAAGTCCTTCAGGGGTACTTCTGAGTTTAAAAAATGCTCATGAAATACGTATGTAGAGTAACCAGGTAGGCAGGTTTTAACGTCGCTAATCTGCACCTCCTGCCTCCAGAGGGTTAAGCATCAAAAGAGTTATTTTTACTGATGTTATGTTTTACCTTTATTGTGAGGTGAACGATCTTGAAGTTGTGGACAGCAGTAGCTCAAGAGGTAGAGCGGATTAGTAATTGGAAGGTTGCAGGATCAGTCCTGGTTCTGGACAGAGAACTGTGCTGCTGTTGTGTCCTTGGGCAAGACACGTAACTCACCACGCCTGCTGGTGGTGGTCGGAGGGACCGGTGGCACCTGTGCTCAGAAGCCTCGCCTCTGTCAGTTAGCCCCAGGGCAGCTGTGGGTCCCATCAGTGTGTGAATGTGTGTGTGTGAATGGGTGAATGTCACACTTTAGTGTAAAGTGCTTTGGAGTTCTCTGACTCTGAACGGTTCTATACAAGAGTGTGTCTTTTATCATTTGTCATTGTTACAGCATCATCTTCATCAAAATACTGCACCACTGACAAACTAAAAAATAACAACATTTTCTTAGTGGTAGAAATGACAACAGGTACTTCTGTGCACTCTTTAACTTCCTTAAATTATCCTATTTTAACCAAGCTAAGGTGCGCCAGCTGAATCAAATTACTGTACAATAGTTCATATCCTCGAATTTTCACAATAAAAGTCTGAATAAAAAATAAAATATGCATAATACAAAAAAATACTTTAACTAAAATTATGGTAGTAAAGTATAATGTAGTAATATAACAATACAGCAGTATTTAAGAAATTAAATTGGCTCTTGCCACCTGCAGAGCCTCCACCAGAGGACAGTGTTACATTTTGCAGGTTTATGATGAAAGTACTAACCATGATACTCCTTCTGGATGCACATGGAACTTAACAAAAACATTTTGCAATGATTATTTCTGATTATAATCAGTCACTCCGAGTGTTTTATGCAGGCTGAACATAAAAACTGTCTCTTACACCTATCGCCTGTATTAGAATTAGAAACTCTAGGATTTGAATATCTTCACAGATCCAAGTCACACTGTCACTTAACATTCATGAACTCACTCATCTTGACTCGTAACAGGAAAGGCTCTGGTTGGTTTAGCGTCCAGGAAACATCAGAGAACGTCTCGAGTAGTAGAATTGGACCACACCTTGAAGACTAGAAGTGGTTTAAGTAATTTGTCCACAATAATGTAAAATCCTTTTAGGATTACTGAAACTTTCCCAGTTCTGCTCAAGTACATCTGTTTTTACAAAACCTCAAATTGTTGACCAAGAATGATTCTGTTTTCTGCAATTAATGACAGATTTTTATTTTATTCTTTGTTTTCTCGAATAATTAGCCCAAATTCATTTAGTCATCTAAAAGTGTGAGCACCTTTCTGAAGTGGATTTTCTCAAAGCTGAAGCTCCTATGTCAATTTTTTTTTAAATGCCAAATTTTGTTTAAAATGTGATCTTCTTTATCTTTAAAAAGAAATAAATGACAAAAATAAAAACAGAATCTTGTGCAATAAGGAAGTGAGGGTGTTTTTATTGTGGTTAAAGATGTTTCTTATTTACAAATAGAGGTTTTAGGTTACTACTCCTAAGTCATTTATAATTTACTGAACGGTCCACCATGACTGTTGCTCTTGAAGAAAACGGCAGCCATTTCTAGAGTTAGACATTAATATTCCATTCATTGGTGGCAGCTTCAGAGAGGAATGTGCTGAAGGTCCAAAACGGAGCACGAATGGAGACGGGATAGTATGACACTCCTCGAGCACAGCTGCTCTTCTCCCTCTGACTGTTTAAAACGGGAAACTTTCAGGGTTGTGTCTGTGTCCGGATTTCTGTTTTTGTTGTTGCAAACAGTTTCAGGACATCTAGTATGAAACACGCAGAAAAAATCAGACTGGTCGATTTTGCATGAGATAAGTTCTGCAACATGGGGAGAAAATTACACATTTTACAAACATCTTATCAGTGTGTGCTTGTGTTTTTATCTCGCACAAGCACACACAAGCATATATACAAATGGACCCAAGAGCCAATCACAGCTGAGGATTTGCACCCCACCTCCTGTGGACAGTTTCTGCTGCCAGCCACTGGTTGACAAGTCAAATTGTTATGTGCAAGTCGGAAAACAGGAGTGTGATAGTTAACAGTACCGGTGTGTTTACTACCTGTTTATTGGCAGGGAACTCCTTACATAACAAACTCTAACTGCCCTCATCAGTTCATACATATTCCATCTGCTCCAGATGAAACTGGTTGGAGTCCAGCTAAACTTGGAGCACAGAGGATGAAAATTGTGTCCTTGAACCTGAGGAAAGCCTAACAGGTGTTAACAGCCACTGTGGCTGCAAAGGGGGCATTTATCTTATCCTGTTCTGTCAAGTTTGAGCCTGGCGGAAGATCATGTGACCACTGTCATGGCTTCTAAATCCATATGGTGATTTGTATATGGGATATGTTGTTTCTGGCCTTGCTTTGTCAGCAAATTTTAGTTCGCGATAGCAAAAACATCTGGATAAATAACTCTGGATGCTGCTTTTTGATAATTTTTTGGTATGCGCCATACATGGTCATTGTGTTTTGCTTTCCTTCTACAATCCTTACTATCACATTTTTTCTTTGAAACATAAACACAAGGTGCAGATGTGAGTAGCTTTCGGACAGGTTTCTTTTTTTGTTGATAACATTCCTTACAGGTGTGGAACACTGAAAAAAAATTTTTTAAATTATTATTTCTGATTATAATCGGTCACTGTGAGTTTTCATGCAGGCTGAACATGAAAATAGTCTCCTACACCTATCTCCTACATCAGCTTCTGATGGAAAATAGACAAGGAAACTCTGGGATTTGAAAATCCTTACAGCTCTACTTGAAGCGGTCGCTTGGACTCACCCATCTTGGCTCGCGACAGGGAAGGCTGTTGTGGTTTAGTGTGCAGTAAACAGCGGAGAATGTCACAGCTAGTAGAAGCTAACCATTAGCAACTCCACCACAGGGCAGAAGTCCTCTAGACTTGTGTTGTTTGTGGAGATAAAACATTCACGTCACAGAGCAAACTGAGTCAGTGGTGGATTTGCATTGCTGTTAACCAATCCGAGGCAAGATGGCCAAATTTCAGATTAACAGATCAGGAAATAAGACTCCAAATCCTGCAGTGTTGTGCCACTTTCTGCAGCAGCAGACTTGTCCATGCTCATCCAGGTTCTTCTGGGCTTTTTTTTGCCCCGAGTACAGCTTGCAAGGCCTTTATTCCTACCAGAGACCACTTCAAATGTATTGATTAAATAATTGTTCTACACTTTTAGGTGATCATTTTGAGTCAAAATCAAACTTTAAAACACATTTTCTTATTCGACCAAACATTTTATGTTAAGAACTTCTGTCTACGACACAACCGAGTCAGTCTAGAGTCAGAAAGTTTATTAGTAGCAACACCTTTTACATTTATCTCAGGTTCATTTTCTCCTTTTGTAAAAACGTTTGCATGTGTTTATTTAGATAATTTGATTAATTGTTTTTTTTATTAATGTAGAGCTGCAGCATTTGAAAAAACGCTGCCTATTAATAAAAACACTACCCCCCCCCCCCAAAAAAAAAGCTAACTAGTGAATTCCTGAAGAAAGGATTCATAATAAAACACACACATTGTAATTTATCCCCACCAGGCCTGTCTGAACTCTGATAGCAGTTATCTTTTAGCATAACCAGAATAATCATGACTGTGTTGAGAAAAAATATCTTTTCCTTGTCAGTCATTAACAAGTGTCCTGAAGTAAAGAACACTCTTTCGGAGGGCGTTCACATTTGCATACATAACAAGTGCGAGTTCGTTATTTTATTTTTTTTATCAGTGTTTTCTTCCTGCAGCTGGAGATTAGAGTTAAGCTAAATCAGACAGATGGATGTTTATTATCCAGATATTGCTCACTTTTCCTGCTGCGTTTGGGGTCAGCAGGAGTTTTAGGTCATTCCTAAAGTTCAGGTTTGCCACGCTGAAAGGACACTGGCCCCAGTTCTTCTGTGCACCTCTGTTGTTTTATTCTCTACAACACACTAACTCTGTGTGTGACACCTGGAGGAGAGGTCCTATTTAAATAGTTTTATACTTTCTTGTGTTAACAAATAGCTGAAATCTAATAAGTAGAAGTAGCTTTTCATCACACACACACACACACACACACACACACACACACACACACACACACACACACACACACACACACACACACACACACACACACACACACACACAGATTATTCCCTGTGTTTGGTCATCTGTTACACACTTGGCGTGCTTCCTAAGGCTGACCAATCAGAATCCAGGGTTTTGGAGGGGAGTTTTAGACGGACAGCTGCTTGCATCAGCAGCATGGAAGCTCTTCTGTGTTTTTGTGCTCTGTTACGACGCTTTAGTTAACTCAGTAGCTTTTTGTAAAACAACTCCAGTGGAGTGTCCATAAATGAGGAATTGCACAGAATCTCAGGATTGGGAAAACTCAGGTTCCCTAAAACACAAAACTGGTGTTAAAAAAACTGTGGCTGTTTTTTCCATATTTTTTGTTGCCATTTCAGTTTATTTTGAAAGTACCCAACCCTTTTTCTTTTGCTAAAGTATTGTTATAGATTTATTTTCCAGCTAAACTACTACTAGCTTTTAAACACCCCAGGGTTAGGGATAGGGTAATTTTTCCCTCAGGGGCTAATTTGGGTTATTTTATTATCTGCTAACTAGTTTTAATTTAACATCACGTTGTAGCTCCTGATAGGTTTACATAAATAACTTTTAATTACCTCCACACTTTGTTCTGTTTTTGCCCAGATTAGTTCTGAAGAGTGAAATCAGTGTTTAGGTAAAGTATCTTGAACAGAAAGTCTATTTCTCTATATCACGAAGGGGTGTGTGTGTGTGTGTGTGTGTGTGTGTGTGTGTGTGTGTGTGTGTGTGTGTGTGTGTGTGTGTCTGCTCAAACTGTCCCACACATCTCTTGATTTTGGACAAAAACACATCAAATCACCTGAGACGACATCATTTATCATCTTTGTTATTCGATCTCCTCTCAGTGTCAGACTCGAGCCTCAGGCTGAGACTGGGATGGAAAACAGCGTTTAGACAGGTTGCTCCTAACTTAATTACCTGAACTGAAAGTCATCGTTTCATGGAAGCGAGGCAGAGTTTGATATTTAAGTATTTATATTTTTTATGATGTCATAAAACATTTAACCATGTATTAATTTGAGGTTATGTGTAACAAATATTAATAGGTAAAAGTTACTTTTCAGGTAAATTAGGCATAAATAAGTGCATTTAAACATGAAACACACTATGTAGTGTTGTTTACCTGAAGATTAACATATTTATCTTTTTATGTTTTTATCTATAAAGAGACTCTGAACTTCTTGAACAGACTAAACTTTTATTAGGATTCAGGATTTTTTTATACAGTTTAGTAAAATATAGTTTGTTTTACCAGAAATGTTTAGCTAGTATCTCATCATCATCAGAGATCGCCGGTGTTGGTGCATCATGTTATGTAATTATTAATGTGTTGGTGCATCATGTTATGTAATTATTAACGTTTGTTTTGCATTCTGAGTGAAATACAATTTCTATTACTTTTAGTTTATTGCAGGTTTTGGTAACACTTTACAATAAGGGTCTCTTTATTAACGTTATTTAGTGCATTATTAGGCAAGTAAAAACAACTGCTTTAATATATTACGTAATGCATTTATAAGCAGACCCCGCAGGTTCATTTAACCTGACAATGGTTTGGTCGGTTGTGTCCACATCACTGAAATGATACAATAATGTTCTTTGAGTTGAAATCTGTTTATTTGCTTTTTGATTGTTTAACTTGTTATAAATTTATTTTTAGGGCTGAAATCTTGCAGTAATTCTTATTTTATTATAATTGGGACAGCAGTAGCTCAGGAGGTAGAGCGGGATGTCCAGTAATTGGAAGGTTGCAGGGTCGATCCTGGCTCCCACCAGAGAATGCTGCTGTTGTGTTCTTGGGCAAGACACTTAACCTGCGTTGCCTGCCAGGGCAGCTGTGGCTACATCGTAGCTCATCATCACCAGCGTGTGTGTGTGTGAATGGGTGAATGACTGTTTAGTGAAGCGCCTTGGGGGGCTGTAGAACCCTAAGAAGGTGCTTTATAAATACAGGCCATTTACTTTTTTAATATAATTTGGAAATGGCTGCGTTATTGCAAATAAACAAAATGAGAAATGAAAAACAAACCATTTGATGTTTGCAATTTAATTTGGAAAAAGTACAAAATAGCTGCTTTTTTGTTAGATTTTATATTTTTGCTTCATCTTGAATCATTTTTTATGTCAGCCCTGCAACACACACCTAATTTCCCTTCTGGGATGTAAACAGCACCAGTTTCATCATCTCAGCTGTTCACGGCCTTTTCCTCTTCATCCCGATGCACATCAGACAGATCTGATCGTGCTGGTGTGATGAGGAGAAGGGATTCTCCCATAAAGAGAATTCCCTGGCTCCACTCAAGAGGAATCTCATCCTGGATCAAAGCTGTGAAGCATCATGTGGCAAACTAAGGGTTAACAGGCTGTTTCTATGCCCTGAGTCCACTCCCCCACTGGAATGGACTGTCCCATGGATTCACATGACGTGTGTGTGTGGGACAGAGTGTGTGCGTTTGCGCGTGGCCCCCTTCACCCACCCCCTAGCCGTATATATTCAGCCATGTGGAGCCAGACGTGGAGTTTTGCTGGATAGACTTTTTATTGACTACCAAGCGTCTGACTCCCAAGTTTAACTTTATTTCTGAGAAGAGAAGCAGCAGGAATAGAAACTGCCTTCAGGTCTCTGTGGACTGCTCACTGGTGGGAACTTTAGGAACCTTGCAGAGAATCTGACCCTGCAGAAGAGAAAATGAGTGACTTTCTGGATGACGGGTCTTTTATGTTTACCTCGGAATCTGTGGGAGAGGGACATCCAGGTGAGTCTCACCTGCACAAGTGCTAAAAACTGACTTAATTTTTTTTATCAAAGTTTCCACTTTTATCTTTAACAATAAAAAAAGACAGTTGAATTTTTATAAAGAAATCTGATCCAAGATCGACTAAAACGTCAAAAGAACTCCACAGAATTTGACATTTTACTTTTGGAGCACGTTTGGGATTTCATTCACCGCTCTGCACTTTCACTTACAGGCAGCAGGAGTGTGTGAGGCAGGCAGACTGGTGTTCGGTTGCACACCGAGGAAAGAAAAAAAAAAGAGGGACATGCTGGAGTTGAACCTGTTTAATGGAACTGCTTGTTCAACGTGCATTCAAACGATGAAAGTTAAACTTTACTCCTGGATGCCCCCCCCTGCTTGCAGATGTCTCCTGGTTGCAGCTGTCAATGTGTCGTAATCCTTTCACAAATATGTAAGCTTACAAAGTCCCCTGTGCAGAATCGATAATCAGTGAATACAGTTCCATAGTGAAGCGAGATAATGAGAGAACTTGACTTTTAACCCTCAGCGGTATCTTACTCAGCACTTTTTCCAAGGAATTTATCCGTGAATGTGTGTAACATCAAATTTCCTTAAGTCAGGATTTCATTTTGAAACATTTGTACATTTTGGGGTATTTGGCCTTGGTAGTTGGAGCAGAACAAGCATTTAGGTCTGATAACACCAAAAGGTCTGGACTGTTCCCACAGATAGCGCCCCTTCTAAGGTAGAAGACTAAATGATAGCGGCGGTATATTAGGATGTGTTCTGAAACCGTTCATCCAGCCAGATGTTGAGGTTGTTTCTGATGCAACCTGTTTAGTGCATTGCTTCAGAGTCAGACAGATGACAGTAAGGGGATGAATGGGGTGACTTATGGTGCTTTGTACTGCTGCTGCTGCTGCACTCAGGCCCAGCAGATTCAAGCTGCACAGACAACTGTGTAAAACAGAGAAATGTCAGAATCTGTCGAACCAAACTCAAACCAGGTCAGTGAAATGTACCAAATTTTCTTTGTGCTCTACAGATAAGATTTGTGATCAGATCAGTGATGCGGTGCTGGATGCACACCTGAAGCAGGATCCTGATGCCAAAGTGGCATGTGGTGAGTAAACCAAAGATACAGATGAAGTCACTTCTCAAATTAGATTTATTTTTAATATTTTTATGTCTCTGGTAGAAACGGTGTGTAAGACTGGCATGGTGTTGCTCTGTGGTGAGATCACATCTCGATCTAACGTGGACTATCAGAAGGTTGTGAGGGACACCATCAAGCACATCGGCTATGACAACTCCGAAAAGGGTGAGAACACAACTCATCAAGCAGCAAAAACCAGACTCAAGCGGGTTTTCTGTGTCTTTAACTCTGAGCTGCTTGGTTTCTCTCTGTAGGTTTTGATTATAAGACGTGTAACGTGCTGGTGGCCCTGGAGCAGCAGAGTCCAGACATTGCTCAGGGCGTCCATGTGGACCGGCGGGAGGAGGACATAGGAGCGGGAGACCAGGTGGGGCAAGAAAATATTTCATTTGGCAAATGTTGGCAGTGCTTTAAATTTGCAAGTAAGAATTTTGCTGTGAAATAATCACAAAATAGCCTAATGTCTCAGTCATGTTGAAAGGAAGGTTTTCCTTCTCAGCCAGCTGAGGGGTTGCCAGTTTTGTTCAATGAAAAAGGCTGGCGACTTTGTTTACAATCTGTTCCTCCCTCCTCCTCCATACTTCCTGGTTCCAGAGCTAGTCATGTTTGAGCCCATGTGGTTGCCAAGTTTGCGCAGTGAAACACTGCTGCACCGGCATTTGTTGTTTGACACCAGCAAAAAGCAGCATGGGCAACCCAGAAGTTATTTCTTGTAAGCTTAAGAAGCCATGGCATCCTTTTTGTTGAACTAAAATTGGGTAAAGGGGCGAGGGTGGCACAGGAGTTAAGTGCTCGCCCCGTAATCGGAAGGTTGCAGGTTCGAGCCCCGCTCAGTCTGTCGCTGTCGTTGTGTCCTTGGGCAAGACACTTAACCCACCTTGCCTGCTGGTGGTGGTCGGAGGGACCGGTGGCGCCAGTGCTCGGCAGCCTCGCCTCTGTCAGTGCGCCCCAGGGCAGCTGTGGCTACATTGTAGCTCATCCCCACCAGTGTGTGAATGTGTGTGGGAATGGGTGAATGACTGATTGTGTTGTAAAGCGCCTTGGGGGGTTTCAAGAATTCTAGAAGGCGCTATATAAAATACAGGCCATTTACCATTTAAAGAAGGCTAGATGCTAACATTGAGCTAACATTGAGCTAACAATGCTAATGGGAATTCGAATAAAAATGAAAGACTAAAAATATCTCAAGCAACTTTTTAAAACGACCAACAAGTCAATATTACAGTGAATTGTATTTATCAACTTACTGTGTAGGACTCGTCCTCCCTCACCATCTAGAATCTTCTGGCGCTGAGCCGTAACTGGCAACAGTTGCTCAGAGCGGACTCTTTGATTTGAAACTGCAGTACCCAGATTTGACCACAGGATGACATCCTTACTTCTTGCTCCTTTAATATCAAAAACTTCACTTTCACTCATAACATCCACCTCACTCACCTCCTCTTTCATTTCTGACACTAAAATTTGTCATTTTGCTGAAGGTAGCATCTCTTCGGACTCTTCTTTCTCTTCAGGGTTTGATGTTTGGCTACGCTACAGATGAAACAGAAGAGTGCATGCCTCTCACCATCGTTTTAGCTCACAAACTCAACTCAAAGATGGCTGAACTCAGACGCAGCGGCATCGTCCCGTGGCTGCGTCCCGACTCTAAAACCCAGGTAAGGATGTTATTGAAACACATGCTCAAAGTTTCTTTCCAGCTCTAATGTACAACCAAATGTATTAATTGGCTTTAACATTTATGTCTTGATTAACGAACATGAATGCAATCTATTAAAGGAGGTGATCTTCCCTGGGGGGGCGCAGTGGAGTGGCTAACAATTTTCTGGGGGTGGCTATGCCCACTGGCTCTAACTAATACCAGTACGCTGTGCAAACAGCTGATTCTGTGTTATTTCTGCAGGTGACGGTACATTATGACCAGAAGGATGGAGCAGTGATTCCCAAAAGAGTTCATACCATCGTTATATCTGTCCAGCATGATGATGGCGTCACCCTGGAGGAGCAGCAGAGGATCCTAAAGGAGAAGGTACATGATCCACCGAGCTCCATGGCTCGAGTGATAAACTCACACATTTGATTTGAACACTGCGTGGTCTTCAGGTGATCAAAGCGGTGGTTCCTGCTAAATATCTGGACGATAAAACCATCTACCACCTCCAGCCAAGTGGCCGCTTTGTCATTGGAGGACCTCAGGTTGGTTTAATTCATTAAACTGTTCAAATGTATCATTTTTTCTCTTATTCACCAATATTTTATGCCCCATCAGGGTGATGCTGGAGTTACAGGCAGAAAGATCATTGTAGACACTTATGGAGGTTGGGGAGCTCACGGCGGCGGCGCTTTCTCTGGCAAAGACTTCTCAAAAGTTGATCGCTCTGCTGCTTACGCCGCTCGCTGGGTGGCCAAGTCTTTGGTCAAAGCCAAATTGTGCAGGAGAGTTCTGGTTCAGGTGAGCATGAAAGTTCATGATGATTACTGTCTGAGTTGACTGCAGTGGTGCTGATGGAAATATTTCTTTCTACACATCTGAATGTGCACAGGTGTCCTACGCGATCGGGGTGGCTCAGCCTCTGTCCATTTCCTTGTTCACATATGGTTCCTCTAAGAAAACCGAGTCGGAACTTCTAAAGATCGTCAACAAGAACTTCGATCTGCGTCCAGGAGCCATTGTCAGGTAGACACGTAAACCTTTTATTGGTTAAAAGCAGAAAAAGACTTAATTCTGTCATTAGAATTAAAATAAGATCTACACATTTTTAAATATTACAGTTTGATGGGTTGGTAAACTGTGCTGAGTGCTGATTTTTCACTAATACTTTAATCACTTATCTGACTATCAGGAGGAATAAAAATATTTATCAAGTTTTAAAGGTTTTACCTTCTGTATTTGACAAATATTGGTCAGAACTTTATTTTAAACAGAATTTTAGTTTTAGTTATGCTACTATTGCATACGTGTTCTTCTGAGCTTGGGCCATGTGGACTGGAAGTGGTATTTGAACTTTGGACCCACGTGGGCTGACAGCCTTGAGTTTGTTTTTTTTTTTTTTTTGCCTTAAATATTTAACAAGAATACAACTACAATGAAAAAAATCTAATATATACAGTACAGGCCACAAGTTTGGACACGCCTGTGTCATTCAATGTGTTTTCTTTATTTTCATGAACATTTACATTGGGAGATTCTCACTGAAGGCATCAAAACTATGAATGAACACGTGGAGTTATGTACTTAACCCTCCCACTGTCCTAATGGGTGTGACCCCATGAGGAAAGTTGACCATTGAGCAGGATTGATGGTTTATCCCTTGAGGTCCACGTGGCAGGGGTGAGGTGCTGCTCACTCCGCAAATGTCCGCAAAGTCAGACGCTTGGTAGTCAATAAAATGTAGGTAGATTTATCTCCACTACACGTTTTTACCTGTATAAAACAATAAGTTATACACAAGTAATATTTATACGTTTGATACAATTCAGATCACCTTCAAAGCTCAGTCACATACCCAGGGCCATTTCAAGACATTTTGGGGGCCAAGGCAAAATGCCCCCCCCCCCAAATAACTGGGCTCCCCAGAAGCCTCTGTGTAATCCATACCCTCTCCAGTAGTGTTAGTTATACAGTGTTTGTAAAAAAAGACTCAGACATTACTGACATGTTCTAATATTATCAGATGAAAAACTAAATTATCAGACATGCTGTCTCATCTGCTGCTTTTCTAAACTTTCAAAAAGTAACAAAACCATTTGAAAGCCACTATTTGTGGATTCTCTGAAAGTTTCCATGGAGTGTGGGACAACTTATTTTTTCATTGATCCAATCGTCTAATCTCACAGCTGAAACAAGCATCCTTAATAATCTGTGCACAGGAAGCTTACCGATGCTGCAGTAAAACAAAAGGTATAATAATTTATTATTAATAAAACCTTGTTGCAGCATTAAAGCAGAAAAATGATATTTTGCAATAAATATGCAAAATATTTACATATGAATTTTTTAGAGCCATTTTATTGGCAAAATCTGATATTAATTTAGTTCTTACAAAAAATGGGTCCCAACATGGTTTGTGTGGCGTTGCCATAGTGTGACGTCATAGGCACAGATCCCCTGTCCTCTTGTTTGGAAATGGAAATATGGTCACCCTATATTAAACAAACCGTCGACCCGAGCTTTTGCGCTGCACAGAGACGCGTCGCTGTCTATGACTTTGAATGTCAGTTGAGAGTCAGTCTCATGTAGACTGACCAATGAAGAGAGGGCCTCAAGTTAAGACCCTCTCCTCATTGGTCAGTCCACACGAGGTGTGTCAAAGGTTACTCTGGGCGGGTTACGTGATGTCAGGCATTCAAATATTGAGTATATTTACTGCTTATTACAATAAAAAATTCTGTATGTGACCATATTATGGTGATCCTCGGGTCGTGATGATGGGGCCCTTTAATATTGTTGCCCAGGGTACAACAAAGTGTTAATCTGGCCCTGCTTTTCAGATAGACATTCTGGAACATTTGCGGACAATTCAATCCGGTTTTTAACCGGAACTGTGTTTTCAGACACACCACTTTTGTACCGGAACTTGTCCTTTCGGCTGCGTTCACACAGCAGGGAAAAGTTCCAGATGTCTGACGGCGGCGGGGGGTGGGGGTGGGGGTGGGGTGGGGTGGGGGGGTAGAATCGGACTTATGTTAAGAAGAAGAAGAAGAAGAAGTAGAAAATATCATTTCTATAGTGCATCTCAAGATAAAAATCACGAGGCGCTTAAGCATAATTCTGCGCACACGAAGACGCATAAAAGACCTGGATGATGAAGCTCAATGGTTAAAGGAATCACTGAAGCGGTGTGAAGCGCTCCGTCGCGCGTCTAGGCGGTACCGTAGGAGGCGAGCTGCCGTGATTCGCCGCATGCTACAGCAGCGGGCTAACTAGGTGCGCACAGCATCCCCCGGTCCCCTCCTCCTCTCCCTCCCCCTTGTCCAGAACTCTACCTCACCAGTCTGAAGCAGCCACCCTGTCCGTAACAAGTCTGGACCTGTTACTGGGGGCTTTGTCCGGTTAAATTCCGGAACGCGTTATCCGGATGTTTGTATTCAGACACAAAGGTCTTACGGACAGAGTCTGGAACATTTCCGTTTTTCATGGCCTGTCTGAAGGGGTCTTAGCCACCTCTGTTGTTGCTTGGCTTCCTGGGGCTGGAGGCTAGGAGGGAGATCTGGCCGTCTGGTTGGGGTCTGGGGTGGTGGGTTGCTGTGCTCAGCATTGGGCGGGGAAGCCTGCTCATCAGCACCCCAGCAGAAAGGGTCAAACTCTGTTTACTGGTGATGGTTGTACCCAATGTGCAGCAGTACTGGGACCAGAGTGAATAGGGTGTGTATGGGGAGCATGAGTGGGTGTCCGGCGTGCATTTTTGTAAGTCTTGGGTTGTATGTGCATGTGTGAGCATGAGGGAGGGAGTGTGTGACTGTGTTTGTGTATGACTGTATATGTCAGGTGGGGCCTTTGACTCCTCCCCTCTCCTGGAACTTCTCTTGATGATATAGATCTTCGTCCCTCCCTCCCCCTGCCACACCTGGTGTGAGGGGTTGTGCCGTGGTCTGCCTGAGTGTTCGTGGCAACCGCTTCTGGGGGTTTAAGATTTTGGCATCTGCCTGATAGATCCCAGTGGCTGCCTGGTGGGGTCTGGGTCCCTGGGCTCTGCTGGGTCCCTGGCGGGGGTGGTCGCCCCTGGGTCCCAGGTCGCTGGGTCCCGGGCTCGGCCGGCTAGGGGGTGGGAGGCTGCGGGCGGGCCTGTGGGCTTGCCGCTGATGTCTCCCGGGACTCTGCCGGCTGCTGGTTGTGGCCCCCCGGGGCGATCCTCTGTGCCTCTCGAGGGGGGGCGGGGGGCCTTCCTGGTTGCAGTCTCCTTGGGGTTCCTGTGTTGTGGGGCAGCGCCTGGATCTCTGGGACTTGGAGCTCCCCCCGTCTCCTGCGCATCTTTGGGGGGCGGATCTGTGGTCCCTCACACTCTCTGTTGGACGCTCCTATAGAGAAACCTTCAATAAACAAGCGCGTGTACACACACAGGTGCTCACATGGTGCTCTCAAAAGTATGGGCTTGGGCACGTTCAACACATGTCTTAAGACTATGGTGGGCACTTAATGCACTAGGATTTATTATCGTGATTCTTCAGTTAAGCAATGTTAATTATATATTCATCAGGTTGACGCAGTGATAGCTTGATCTTGTTGTATTGTTGTTGTGTCCCATTTTTTTTGTTCTTTTGCTTCTTTTTGTTTTTTTCTGCAGGTCTAGAAGCAGACTCTTGTTCATCATTGTTTATTTTTGTGGACCCCCCACCCCCCTCCTCTCTCACCACCTTTTCTTTTCCTTTCTCTTTCACCTCTGTCTCCGTGTCTGGTCGGAATTACAAAGCATTCAAAAACAATAACAATAAAGTTTTAAGTATCAGGCGTGACATTAAAAGCAGGCGCTTTGATGCTCCACCTGAGAGTAAATCTGTAAGGCTTGTCACCAGCATTCAGACATCAATTCTGTTTGCTTCACAGCCAGACAGGACACGGTAAAAAAAAAAAAAGAGTTATGAATCAGTTACGGATCAGCACCAAGAGAGTCTAGATGACAAGCAAAAACGAGTCATAAACAGTAAGTTGATGAGCAGATTAATAAATTGTCCTATCTGATGTTAACACTCTTGGGTGTTTTATGGTAGAGGGCACTACCCTTATTGTTGTAGTTTGTCTCCAGCATAAGAAAGCGGTGTTTGCTGTCTTGCTGTTAGCTTGCTGTTATAGTTCTGAACAACTCATTAAAGTGCACCACAATTAACTTATTATTCCCTTCACACAAATGTTTCACTGTAATTATCAGGTTGTTGGAAATTTTAATCAATTAATTTTGAATGCAGTTTATTTATAAAGCGCCAAAACACAACAAGGCACTTTGCAAAGTCAACATTGCAAAACAGTTCAGTTCATTAAGCCAATCAGTAAAACGTTTCCTGTATAAGGAACCCAACAGATTGCATCAAGTCACTGACTGCTGTCAAAGTCTTTACAGCGATCCTCATACTAAGCAAGCATGCAGCGACAGAGGAGAGGAAAACTCCCTTTTAACAGGGAGAAACCTCAGAGGATCCTGGCTCAGTGTAAACAGCCATCCACCACGACTTACTGGGGATCGAGAAGACAGAGCAGACACACGCACACACCAACACCCACAGACAAAAATCAAATATATTAAATTGGGATATCTTAGGAGCCGACTATTTGCTTCTAATTCATCGTTAGGACTGTTAGGAAAATGTCTAGATATCGGTCATGAAGATCGGCCCATGAAAATCTGCAGTACATATAGGTCATCAGCTGACTATGTCTCCTACACATTGGCATTGGTATTGGCAGTTGAAAAACCAATATCGGTCTACATCTAAACTGAACCTTTAAGTGTAGACCTGAAGACAAGCGCTTAAACTGTAATTGAAATGCTGGTCTTCTCTAATTTTACCACTAGGGGGTATTAAAGTGAGCAAAAATCCAATCATCTTGACAAAGAAAAACGAAAGAAAAAAATGAAATTGACTCAACTTGTATGTGTCCAACAAGACACTGAGCACAGTTCAAATGTTTGTCATACATTTTCATCATCCTTTCAAGTCTTGAAGTGTTTGACATGAATTTTCTGTAATATGTGCAATTATCTTGATTTTCATATGCTTTCTTCTTATTACTTTTCTTTCTGGTATATTTATGTATTTACAGTCCATTTGACCTGTTTCTTCTGTATTCCCTGCAGGGATCTTCAGCTGAAGAGGCCAATTTACCAACAGACAGCTGCTTATGGTCACTTTGGACGACCAGAGTTTTCCTGGGAGGTGCCCAAAGGCCTTGTTTTCTAAAAACGACTCCACCTGCCAGCATGAACCAGCTAAGATGAGCTAATTTCATGTTTAACTAATTCAGACCTAAATGCAGATTCCAGATTTGTTTTTAAAGAGTTTAAAACTGTATTTTAAATCCTGTGAGACATATTTTTGGGAAGTTATTCACATCATCCCTTAAAATATCTCATTACTTAAAACATTTTAAATACAGCAATGCTTTCATTGCATCAGGTCTTAATGGGTTAATATAGAGTGGTAAAGTGGAATAAAATGCAAAAATTAGTGCAGTTTTTTAAGTTATGAAGAGATCATTTGGTTGGTTGAAGCAAGAGGGCATGCATTGTGGGGTTCTCAAATGAGAAAGGATGATTATTTAATTTTGTTGTTCTTCAGAACAAAAAATATTCAGTTATTGGTGCTTCAAAATGCAGAAACATATATTTTACGCCACTAGAGTTGGGGTATTTTACCTCAAAGCTTTTATTTTATCATTTATGTGGCCAGCATGATGCCAGAAAACCTAAAAATCTTTATTTTTACATGCAAGGGCAACTTTTTTAAATCACATTATTGACACAACTGTTCACCAAAGACTTTATGTGTTTTTGTTTGGTTTGAGTCTTATCCTGTAATGTGTGCTGCAGAAAGCTGTCACCATTATATGAGCAAATGTAAAACGGACACATTTTCTGCATCCCTATTCTTTTTTCCCTCACTCACCCGTAAATCATTAACACTTGATGCATTCTTCATGTCATCAGGTCTTTAAAGGAAAAATAATCCCCAAAAATCTATTTGGTGTATTTTTTTTTACTTATTTTTGTAAATGTCTCTAATTTAATTTCTTTTTTGTTGTGTAGAATTCAATTCACAAACATTCTTTTTGTTTTTTTGCCTAATTGTTTGGAGCAAAGCAAGTAGAGGACCACAACTGTTGTAAAGATGCAGGATTTCCACCCTATTTTAAGCCTGACCTGATCTGCTAAACTGCAGATGTAATTTTTTTTATTTCATACAAACTGTGCCCCTATGTGTAATTCAAGTAAACGTTTGGAGGGTGTTATCTGTGATTTCTGCTGTTCTAATGGATTTGATTATGTTTTAATCAAAATGTTTAATTGAATCAGTTTAAAGCCCTCCAGCAAGGGCGCTGGGTCTTCATCTGCAGCCGGCATCATGTGTGTTAAAAGGGGTTTTCCTCTATTTAATATGTTTTTTGTCTGTGTTCTCCTCTGAGGATTTTGTTGTCAGAGAAACTGGACAATGTAAATACATTTAACAATAAAAATGACAAAATACGACGATAGAAAATGTTTAAATCTGGCTCAAATTAATCAGTTTGTGGCGTCAATTTTTAAAATTTCTTGTAAACTGGACATGAAATCTGTTTTTCTGCATTTCTATCAGACGGATCTACAAT